CTGCTCGCCCTTTTCGCAAGAGCTGATGGTGGCACTGTAGCTGATTACGTCGGCATTGATACCAGCCTTGGCCATGTTGTAGAAAACAGACAGAGCCAGCTGCCATAGACCAGCCTTCTCACAAGCACTGATCACTGCGCTGTGGCTGATCACATCCGGCTGTAGCTTCGCTCCAGGCATCGCTGCAAAAAGATTGCAGGCTAGCTGCCACAGCCCAGCCTTCTCCAGAGAGCTGAGTGTCGAGTTGTGACTCACAACATCGGGCGTAATCTTCATGGCCGGCATGGAATGGTACAATTCACAGGCCAACTGCCATTCACTGGCCTTCTCGCAGCAACTGATCACAGCACTGCAGCTTTTTAAATCCGGCGAGATCTCCATATCTGGAAACGTGCGGAAGAGTTCTAGGGCCCGTTGCCACTGCTGGCCTCGCCTGCAGGAGTTGATTGCAGCACTGTATGTGACAATGTTGGGCGAGAGCCGGGCCTGCAAAACCACGTCAAACAATCTCAGAGCCATCTGCCAGTTGCCGGACCTCTGGCATGAGCTGATCGCGGCAGTGAAGCTGACGATGTCAGATTGGATCTTCGCCAGAGGCATGGTGGACAACAACCGTAGGGCATGCCTCCACTGCCTTGAGTGCACAGCTGTACTGATTCCAATGTTGAAGTGATTGCGGGTAAGCTCCACCAGCCAGTCTTCCTGGACTGCTGCTAGCACCTCGCAGATAAGGTCTGCTCTTGATTCAAGCTTCAACTCATTGAGGACAATGCTGATGACATTTGGGGTCCGTCTCCACGAAGCGAGCTGCGGGGAAATGAGTTGCCGCACCTGCACTTGCTCCACGGGTTTCAGGTCTAATAAGCATGTCACCAACTCAGATCGTCTCTTGCTATGGCTGCTATGGGCAGGCAAACAGAGTCGCGAAGTGCATAGCAAGCGGCGGTGCATGCCAGCAACACTTCACAAGGGATTCAATACCGGAGCAGGCAGCCCTGAAGTGAGCCAAACAACAGCGTCAGCTTGAATTCTCTAGCTTTCTGACAGACAGAGGCAAGGTGATGTGGCACACATGATTGCAATCATGCTGGACTTATCTTACAACGACTCAACGAGCGTGCGACGCACATCCGCTACTGCTTTTAAGTCCCGGACCGTTTGCGAACCTCCTTTCCAGGAGCGAGCCGCGAGTTTCAACCAACGACAGCAGGCTCAGGCCTTCTTCATTGCAACCTGCTTTCCCTCACTACGGCACTACGGCAGAAGCCTCACTTTCGGAGATGTCAACTCATTGGCAACGCCACCTCATAAACCTCCGCGACTCGGGTATGTCCTTGATGAGGTCCAAGTACGCATCCGGCAAGGTAATGAAGGGGAACTCTGTGACTTCGTCGAGAATGCTGGGATGCCAGGCCTCCCACATGCGGTGATTGTTACTTCTCGCATGGGTACACTATACATGAAACTCGTTTGTGGAGGAGAACCACAGTCATCCTGGCCAGCTGCCGTCACTGCACTGCACTGTCAAGATCTACATGCAGTGTCGAGATGTGGCCGGGGGGAGTTTTGTGCACAAGTTCAGCACCCTACACCCTATAAACCATAAGCCCTAAACCCTAAACCCTAAACCCGCCCTTTTTTCCACTTTGCCTGCAAAGGTTCTGGGAGATCTTCCATCGGGACCTGGCGCGCCATGTGAGACTGGAAGAGCGGCTTCTCGTGATCGTCACATACTCTTCGGCAAACGATTCATGCATCTGACACCGGCGCACCATAGAAATATCAAACGATGTCGCCAGGCCCGGCAGCCTCGAGCAAAACACGGCAGTTTGAAGAACTACAGTCATGTGATTCCACCGAGGGCAGGGAGGATGGCAATCAGAGACAGAGCTCTCACTCTTCACCAAGTGAGTCATCGCAATTTGCTGTGCCGGACACGATGACGAGGGAAGCACAGCTAAGATGCACATGTCGCCAATGTCTAGCTTCTATACATGTACCTCGTCAGAATCACGCTCGTGGCCTCAGCATGGTTGCCAAGACAGCTATGGAATCCACCTTGTCGTGCTCCAAATATGCCAGCCTTCAAGCTGAGAAGTGAACGAGAACCTACCACTCAAAGGACCTACCACTCAAAGGAAGCCGCGCATGCTGCCTGCATGTCTTCAGCTCGATCAGTAGGAGCTTGCATTCGTGGCAACAGGTTCATGAAGTACATGCATCCAAGAAACTCATACGCAGGATTCAAAAGCATCAAACGCAAATCATGGTTGTTTTCGTGACTTGCCGAGGCGTGCTGCTCGCACAAGAGAACTCGCCAGATGAAGGTTGGGCTACATGTGCACACACATGACGTGCCTGTTCCGCTCTTGCGGTGGGAGATGCCATATTGCAGCACATATCCACCTGAGATCTTTCTCAGGCATGTGAGTCGGCGAAGTCATTTCGGGTGTGACCGCATGCTCGTTTTTTTGGGAACCGGGCGCAGCGAAAATTAAGAAGTCCAGCAGCGCTTGCGGCAGTTTCTCCTGCAGAGGATACTTTGAAGCTTTCCGAAAGTCCAATCTCGGCTTCGGGCCTCTCAGATTTTGAGAATTTCTGAATACTCATTTCATGAGAGCCATAAACTCGTATCATAAGCCATATTGCAGCCATCACAAGGAGTACTGAGTGTTTCGCAGGTCGCCCAGTAGTGAGCTCAACATGACCCCAATATGTTTCAACATGTTTCAACTTACCATCTTTACAAGGAGGGCAACTCCTCTTCTTTCACATCCTGTCCTGCACACGTGCTGGGTCTCGCATGCAAACAGAATTGCAAATGATGATTGCGTGCAGAGAGGGTCGTGCTGGTGCATCATGGCACCATGAGGTTTCGGCTGCCGGAAAGTGCACTCCTGCGTGGGATGCGGCCATCTGCCTCATGCAGACCTTCACGCAGCGCATTGTCCCACGATGCACGCATGCTGCGTTCTGCGCATAACACAGTGCAGAACACTCGCCACCTTCGCAAGGAGCGCGACCAACTCTGTAAACGCACTTTGCGAGAGCCCGTCCTGGACTCTTGGCCAACAACATCCAGCACATCCAATCTTGCTACATCTGGACACACTTTCGAGCACCTCATCGCCAAGCTTTGTGGCAACGAGATCAGCCAACGCCGCCTTGACAGGAAACCCATTCGCAGTTCAATCCAGTTGATCTCTCGGCCTGCCAATCTTGCGTGTTTGTATTCACCCTTACATGTCCTTACAAGACTGGTCCTGCTTTGACTGCACCCACAATCGCAATGGCCTTGCTTGTTTTGTGACCGTATGTTGCAATGCGGCGTGCTGTTCTTTAACGTCTGAGTTGTCAACATAATAAGCCCTTATTGGCTACCCTAGATGCAAGAGCTGGCATTGAAATAGCTGCACAAGAAGGAAATGTCCGGTGTTGTCTTTTCGCCCGATCGGCACTGAGTTCGCGCCGTTGGGGCGTTGGTGGTCATTTGTCTTTCCATGACCTTTGAACGCGCACACACACACACACACGAAGGGCATTGCAAGATTGTACGCAATACCTTTGTCTTCATAATGATCTGACGGATGCCGATGGCCGTCCTTTTATAAGCTTCCTTGCTTCGCATGCCTTGGAGACTGGAATATCTTGCTGTTGGTTCTGTATACATGGCAATTCTTGCAGCACCCAAGAAGGGCATTCGCAAGAGTGTTCATGCAGTTCCTGTCTCGTCGTCGTGACATGACGGCTGTATAAGGAGCTAGCTGTGTAACGCCTGTGGTCCTTTTGTAGGCTTGCCTGCGAATGTCTGGCTAGTGGTCACTTGTCTTTGCATGACCTGGAGTAGCTTGTTTTTGGGCATAGTGGGTTGCTTGATCCGATTAAGTTCAGGAGAGGCAAGTTGGGCAAGCAGGGGATCCGATTCGTAGATTTGTCCCGGCAGCACAGGGGGTCTAGGGTCTGATCTGGTGGCTTTCGCGAGCTGACTGGATGATCCTACCCGGAGCACTGATACAGACCCCCGCCCCTGCAAGTCTTTTTCTTTCAGTCGCCATCGAGGCTAACCAAGTTGAAGCTGGCAACCTCAGATGTGGAATTGGGCAAGCTATCGCAGCTATCGCCCGAGCCGGAGTGTTCTTGTACCCGAAGCGGTATCAAAATGCATGAGTGGCTACAGACAGCAAGGCTTATGCTCGTCACTTTGTCCGACCCTGCTGGCAACATCTGTCCAACATACAAACTTGTTCTTGCTAGGGCACATACGCATGACGTATTCCCGTCATTACGGGACGACCAGCATGCGTAATGCGGCCTTCGTTTGCAGGAGAAGACGCGAGGGACGTGCAGACTCGACATGGCTCTTAAGCAGAAATTTCACAGCTGATCGCTGATGCAATCCATGTTCAGAAGCACTATGGATCCATTGGAGGGGCTACTTGCCTCTACTTGCCTCTACTTGACGACTGAGATCTGCAAGCCTCATTAGCAGTCCGAAATGGACAAGCAAAAAAAGAGAGAAACCCTTTGAGGGCTGGATGTTTGCCGGACTTTGTCCCGGTAATCACTATTACAAGCAACAACATCCTGAACCTCCATGTGTCAAATGCTCCAGGCTGTCTGAACCCTGCTCTGCGATTCCAAGGTGCCGTTGAAAAGGATGGCCGTGCCTTGTCTCGGCTGCAGGACTGCTGCATCACCTGTGCTTGCACGTGTGCACATGTGCTGCTTGTCAAATGCGCTTCGCCCGGTGTAGTGACTCTATGTGCCCATTCTACATGGCAGCTTCCTGACCGAAACCCTAAACCCTAAACCCTAAACCCTAAACCCTAACCCTAAACCCTGCACCTCTAAACTGAACCCCTAAACCCTAAACCCTAAGCAGAATTCAAAGCCATTTGCTTTGCCAGGATGCACATCTGGAACTTCTCGGCGCAAGGCTGGCAGGGATGCACTGGGGCTGTTGAGCGCCGTATAGCGCCGAAGACCCTAAACCCTAAACCCTAAACCCTAAAACAACTTACATCATGCCATGGAAGCAGCTTGCGAGGCAAGTTCCCTGCCTCACCTTTCTCGCCGTCAACCTGTGCCAGCCGGTGATTTTCTGGCATGCTGTACGTATACTGTACATACATACATACATACATGCATACATGCATGCATGCATGCATGCATACATGCATATATATATATACATATATATATGGGGTACTTGCTCATATATATATATATATATATATTTATTTATTTATTTATATTTATTTATGTACATATATAACCCATGAACCTGGGCCTAATGGTGTGAAGGCGCAAACACATCCGTTCGCATCCGCATATCCCTGCATCTCAAACTCATTGCTACAGGAACATCAACTTTATCCCGAAGAGAAATAAGAGAAGAGTGAATCGAGAGCGTGCCGTCACCACAATGTGAAGATGCGGTATGGTTCGAACTTCAACAGATGTTCACAGCACCCTGCACTACTCTGGCGTTACTTTCGTGGGCCTGGGACCAGAAGGCGGTGCCGCCGCCGGTGAAGGCTCCAGGTTCCGAGAGGACCACATTCAGCGTCATCGCCTCCTGCTTTTTTTTCTCATCGTTTGTCGAATTTTGCCAAGGCATGTCAGCACCACCGTCATGGCATGTCATGGCTACATTGTTGCTTTCCGACACAACGCCAAGTAGGCCAGGCTGCTCTGTCGATGTGAGGTGCGATGCCACCCCCAGTCATGTACCTCGCAACATGACTGTCCCTGCTTCTGCCTCAGAGACTGCATCAGCAGGCTGACTGCTTATAAGTTGCTTCGCTTTGCTTGTCTTTGCTTTTTCTGTGCTTTGCATTCGTAGTTGGATGCTCATCTTTCCTTCTTCTCGGCGCCTTCTTTGATTTGCCCCATCTTGGGGCCGGCCCCGAGGCTCCCCAGAACTTCTGAATATTTCTTGCAAAAAGTGTGTGTGGTTTTGCTCTGGTTTGGAAAGTCTAACACAGCCATCGGGTACACCATGTTGCAACATTTCATGTGCTTCTCGCATTGGCATGCACACTGCTCGGCCTTTGAAGCATGGAGTTTTTGGTTCTGATTCTTGTGGCTTTGGTTTTTGACCGTCATAGCGTGGGGAGTTTGGGTGGCCTTGCCTGTTGAAGGACATGTGCTTGAGCTTTTGAAGCTTTGTGGCTTGGGCTTTGTGGCTTTGGCTTTGCGGCTTTGGCTCGGCTCCAACTTGGCTTCAGCTCGGCTCTGGCTTGGCTTTGCAGACAGAGCTCCACAGGAGCCAATCGACAGAGACGCCCAAGAAAACAAACGAGCAAACGCCATGAAGCAAAAAATTATGCCGGCGTAGATCCCAAGCAGTGTGCGACCACTTCCAGAGAATTTCCGAGAGCGCCCCCAAGAAATTAAGCCACTCCAAGAGCTCACGGAGCCAAAGCAGTCCAAAAGCTGTAAGAGGCCGAAAAGCTCGGAGAAACGTGTGCTGCTGCCGTTTTTTCGCAACACGGGGGGGCTGGAGGCCTCAAACAATCCACGGGCCGAGGCGACCGTGGCGAGCACGACGGAGACCACCGAATGCCCGCAGGACCCAGGCGGGAGCACGTTGTGTAAGTGTTGGACTTACCATTAATGCGAAAGCAGCAGCCACGCTCGGGCCTAGGCGAGAGCCGCGGGTACCCCAACGTGCCCTCCATGTAGAACTCCACACAGTGCTGCCATATGGTTTGGGGAACAAGGTGTGACAATTTGCCCCGGGCATTTCGTCAGCGCCGGACACAGAAACATGTAAGGAGGCACCGGTTCACTGCCGGTTCGCCCGGTGAGAAGAAGGGCTGAAGCTCCTGAGCAGCTACTGAAACTGCGCGAACTCAGCTGGTGCGCAGCACATCTTGGGCCGCATGCGGAAACAACTGGGACCACGGCACTGAGACGCTCGCTGCGTCCGAAGAGCTCCTCTACCACGTCGGGCAACCTGAGGCACAGGGCATCAGAAGTGAATGCAGGAGGGTGGTCTGTGGGTCTGTGGGTAGTTTGCAATCTTCTGGATGAGCTTAAGAACTTCAGCTGCCCTCTGCTATCCTCTGCTGGCATTCTCCGCAGCATTCCGCAGCATCGTGGGTGTGTGTGTGTGTGTGTGATGGCAGTGAAGGCTCTGGACGAGACACTCGCACTCCAGAAGCGGGACCAGTCCTCACTTTCACTGGACATCTAATTGCCGTGCTTGAAATTCTGAATGCGCTGAAGCCAGGTTCTTGACGACTTGCCGCTGTAGGCTGTTGGCACTGTTGGCTGCTTGAGCAAGCATTGATGCACCGGTTGGCAAACTGATGCCAAGAAGCGTTCTTTGAAGACAGAACCTTGGAGTGTTAAAACCACTACCCCCGTAGCTGCTGAGACTGTGCTTGCAGAAGACACAGCATCAAGTGAATGGAAGCTCGTGAACATGGCCAGGCTGCTGGAAAGCATCTGGGCTTCCAGATCGAGCTTTCGGAGTGGATATCCTCGGAGAGCTCACGCGAAATTGCTTTCGCATGTCTGCAACGAATGTAATTCGTTCGAATGGTGATGAGGATGGTGTGGTGAGGACGTGAAGTCTCTCCCACGTCATGCTTTAAAGTGAGCCCAAGCAAGGCAGATTGTTTTTTTTTATCCCATGAGCAGCTCGCAAGAGAGCTCGCATCTCGGAGTCTGTCCGTACAGCGTCTTGCGTAAGCTGACTTAAAGAGAGGAGATCACCGCTTCAAAGTCACAATAAGATATGATGACCTCCTCTTCTTCGTTCTCCTGAGCACACTCCCTCATTGCAGGAGGCGCAGGGATTTGCGATGCCGCCTGTGGCGCAGGTTCGCTTCCACTTGGCGACTTCTCTGCAGCGTGAAGATTTTTTCGCAGATCTTGTCCGCAACATCCGGTCGCTGCTTGCACGTAGAATGGCCAATTCACTAAAAGCACTCCGCAGAGCCCACCTGGACAGCAGATGCCCAGTGCAAAGTATTCATTTCTGGGTACAGACTGCTCTCGGAGTCTTCAGCTCGGTATATGTTGGAAGAGCCCCCCGGCCTACGAAGAACGGTATGGCCAAGCTGACGGCTATGGCCAGGAAAGCAAGGCAGGCCGTGCGCCCAAGCGTCAAGCCTTATCTAAAGTAGCAACTTCACAAAAGCCCCCTGCAGTGTGAAGGTCTACCTGTGAACAACAAGACATTGTGCTGACAGTGCACTGCCGTAATGAGCTCGTCCCACAATGATGCGTGCATAGTGCACAGGTGCTGTCCAAGAAGCTGCGGTTCTTGCGGCAGATGTCTTTGATCGCCACAGAAATTAAGAAAGTCAAAATAGAGAAAGCCATGAAACCGACCTTGAACGCTCGGAGGGGTGCAGTGTAGAGCAATTAAATTTTTCTTGTCAACAAAACAGCAACTGACAAGAAGCCAGCTGATTGCCTCCAAATTGCGCTCAAAGAGAGGAGTGCGTAGTGAAGCTTGCCTTCTTTCAGACATTCCACTAGAAGAAAGCCCACCAAAAGTGGGTCGTTGCCCATGGCAGTGTTGACTGGCCAACTATCAGCCTATGCACTGGAGCTGTGAAATTCAAAGTGGGGAATTGTGCATGTCGGGATATGTTGGGATGACTGCTGGATAGCCAAAGGAGTGCAAAATTCAAAGCATGTTTCAATTCTGTCGGGAGCAGCACACGGCCAGCCATCCAAGTGCTGAGGAGTGCTAACCGCGATGCGCCAACCCCTGCAGTAAAAGCCTGATTTGGCCAATGAATGAGGGTATCCTATTTTTGTGGCTGTAGCGCTTACTGTCTTATGCTTTTTGGGGTCTTAAGACACTGGTGTAGGCTGTAGGGTATATTATGATGGCCTAGGGCAGCGACTGGTGCTTTATTGGAAGCTTCTCGCAATGTGCACTTCTGCCTGCACCAGCAATCGCCTGCAGTTTTCCGCATGGAGGCCTACAAATATTAGATTCTTCTCTGGCAGTTGGTGCCCTGGAGCGCCAGCCAATGCCATGAGCAACGCACCTTCCCTGCAGATGCACGCAGCATGTGCAGAGAAGCCGGGTTGCTCATGGCATGGACATGCATGGACTTTGTGTTCGCAGAGCCATGAGTCAGGAACTTTGTAGCAATAATCCTCGGCTTTCAGGAAGCTTGAGGAGGTTTAAGTGGCGACTTGGGCCAACAAGTCGATGCTCGCAGCAAGCAAGATGTTCGACAAGCGCAGGAGCGGTTCTGCTTGGCGACACTGCTCGAAACAAGTGATCCACTCGCAATAGCTGATGGCGTTGGGTATGATTGCAGACTGTGACATGATCTCGGAGAACTGGAGGGCCAGCTGCCAACGCCCAGCCTTTTCGAAGGAGCTGATACATGCATTGCAGCTCACCACATCTGCTGGGATTCTTGCAATGGGCATTGCGAGAAAAAGGCTCAAGGCCATCTCCCACTGGCCACTCTTCTCGCAGGCTCCGATACAAATGTTGTAGGTGACAACATCAGGAGTGATTCCTGAACGAAGCATCGAGGTGAGAAGCAGCAGTGCCTGCTTCCACTGAAGGCTCCTTTCCAGCGAGCAGAGGCAAGCGTTGCAGCTAATGACATTGGGTCTGACGGCAAAAAAGGTCATGATGTCCAAGAGGCCAACGGCAAGCTGCCACTGTCCAGCGATGTCAAGAGCACTGATGCAGGCGTTGCAAACAATCGTATCCGGCCTTGTGCCAGATGCCAACATAGCACTCAAAAGGCTTAGTGCCTTTTGCCACTCGTTCGCCTTTGCACAACAACTGATGCAAGCACTGAAGCTGATCACATTCGGCTTGACGTCAGCCTCAATCATTAACCCAAGGAGCTGCAGTGCCAGCTGCCACTGCCCCGCTTGTTCACACGAGCTGATGCAGGAGCTGTATCCAATCACTCCAGCGGGAGTGCGCACCACATCCATCAATCGCAAGAAGTGTAAGGACAGCTGCCATTGGCTGCAGTTTTGGAAAGCTTTGATGCACGCATTGTAGCTGACAGCTGTTGGTTTGATCATCTTGCTTTGTGCAGACACAAACAGCTGCAGCGCGAGTTGCCACTGCGATCGCTTTCCACAGGAGCTGATGCACGAATTGCTCAACGTGTTCAGCCTGATGTCGCTTTGAACAATAACTGTCATGAGCTGGAAGGCTAGCACCCATTGATAACTGTTGTCCAAGCTGCTAGTGGCAGAGCTGCAAGTAAAGACAGAAGGTGTTATTCGGCCGGTGGACATACTCTTCAAAAGCTGCATTGGCAGCTGCCACGGAGCATCACCATCAACTGAGTTCATGCACGAGTTGTAGCTGATTGCATCAGCCAAAACGCCGTTCTGGGGCATGACCTGAAATAACTGCACTGCTCTCTGCCACTTCAACTCCCGAGCACAAGCGTTGATGCATGAATTGCATGTGACAAGATCTCGGCTGATCCGCGAATCGTACATGCACCTAAAGTGCTGCAGGGCATGCGTCCATTGATCGCCGCATGCGATGCATGTATTATAGCTGACGGTACCCACTGGCAGCTCTTCGGTGGGCATTGTCCTCAACAGTGCCAAGCCAGTTTGCCACCACGCCGCTAAACCGCAGGCACTTATAGCTAGGTCGAAATGATGACTGATGGGTGCGCCACATTTCCGAACCACGCCTAGGACGCAGAGCAGCAAGTCTGCCCGGTTCTCAGACTTCAGCTCTCTGAGGAGTTTCGCAATTGCCCCCGGCTTCCTGTGCAACGCCTTCTTTGCAAGCACTGCCTTCACGACCGCTTGCGAAGGAGACTGACCGAGCTGGAGCAAGCATCTGCTTGCGTCCGACAAGTGTATGCCCATCCGAGAGCGATTACATGTCGCGGGACACAGGCAAAAGGCTTGAGACGATGCGCGGAAGGCCGGGCATTCAATCAACACCCCCTGTTGTCAACGCATTAAACGGCCCAAGGCAGGATTGATGTTCACTGCTACGTACCTCGCTGCAGTCAGGGTTCGATTCATGTTGCCCTGATACGCATAGAAGTTACCAGCGCTTGTACCAACAGCAGCAGCTCTGTCAGCAGCATCCATAAAGATGTGGCACTCCTCTGCTGATGCTTGCGGCTCAATAGATATGCCGCTGCTGCAATGCGAACCTTCGGATTACTATTCGGGTCAAGGACTGCGACAGTCTCCTGTGTTGTACTACAAGATTCGACATGGAAGAAACCAGCGCAAACCAGAAAGCGATTTTTTGGGAGGCGCCCAGGCGAGCTCTTTGTTTCAAGTTTGGAGTTTTCCTTGATGCAGATGGCAACGTATGACTCGAAAACGACTCCACCAATTTCAGACACGCAGACTCACAGACAGTCAGAGAGCAGGAGAGAAAAAGACCGACGAAAAGGAGGAGCACGACGGGGAAAGACAGGGAGAGAGAGACAGAGCGAGAGAAAGAGAGAAAGAGAGAAAGAGAGAAAGAGAGAAAGAGAGAAAGAGAGAAAGAGAGAAAGAGAGAAAGAGAGAAAGAGAGAAAGAGAGAAAGAGAGAAAGAGAGAAAGAGACTGAAGAAGATGTGCTGGCTGTTTGGGCTGTTCACGTCAACTGCTGGGGGCCGCCTCGGCTTCTTGGTGATTTTTAAATGCAGGTTGAGCGGAAACACTGAAACACCCTTGCCCAGTCGCCTCCCGCGACAAGAAGTCGGGAACGATCCTGAGCTCGGCTGCAAGTGGGGTGCCCACGACTGCGTTTCGAAGGTGTGGCAGGAACCTGCATCTAAACGAAACCCCCTGCATCACATACTTACAGCCACCCATAAAGGGCGTTCGGCAGCGACTTCATGGATGTCCGAGTCGGAGTCTAGCAGGTATAAGAATCACAGGCCATGCCTCCAAGGTGCACAACACCTCAGCTGCTCAGCTCAAACTGCTGAGGCTTTCGGGCTTGTGGCACTAAGAACATGCGCCGCGCATTGCCCCTCTAGCTCGTATTGCGGTGGCCGCACCGATTCGTCATGAAGCTACTCGATGGTAGTGCTGCAACCCCAATTTGGTACCACATTGTTATACTATTCATTGTACTGTTGTATGAATATATATATATATATCCTATTACATTCTAACTGGAAGTCCGGGAGCTGTTCCACAGAAAGCGTCGGCTGACTGGCGAAAGCCGCAGCTCCAGAATGCGTTGCGGTACCTTAGGAGTCAAACAGGCTCAGAACATCTCCGAAGCAGAGTCTGAGCGAAGCATTTCAATCACGTGCCAGCTGTCTTCGTTCAGGCACCTCGCATCGAAGAGCGGGGGCGAAACACGCGTCACACCTTACAGAGCTTGGTGCTTGGCACCTTGATGGATCTCAGAAAGTAGCATCATGAGTAAGTATTGACCTGGTCACCAAGGTACATACATATGTCCGTATGTATATAGATATATCCATATCTCATGCCATACCCGTATTTCACATACTTACATACACAGACATTCATCACATACACAGACACACACCTATACTGCATACATACATACCTACCTACCTACATACCTACATACATACATGCATACATTACATACATACGTCCACTGACTATCTTCACAGCGGGAACCTACACTGCTCTCGGGACTGCTCTTGCGGAGGCAGGCGCGTTTCTTGGAACGCTGCGATGGCTTTCATCACGTCCGGCGTAGAACTGACAGATTCGCCACGCGTCTTGCATACGACTTGAGCACAAGAATCTCCCGGGGGTGTGGCTTGACACGATGAACATCTCCAAGCACCTATTCAATTCGACCGCTGCTCTGCGCCCTTGTGCCTGAAGCGTTCGCACCCGATGCTGTCCAACTGCAGCATTGAGGGGTCCACTGCAAAGAAGACGACTTTGCCTGAGTAGCCCAGGAACTTTGCATTGGGGGCAGAGAATGCCTCGACACATCAAGGAGACCAGATCCTCCAACCAATGCCGCCCATCTTTGCGAATACCGGGACTCGCTCAACATTCCTTCATCTCATTTGGTTTCTTCGCGGAAGTGTCGCGATGTGTTTCACGGGATATACCTAAGATCTACAACATAGTATCTCACTCCGGCACTATGTTCCATGCTTTGCGGTGAGCGCGAAGCTTGCAGTAGGTTTTGGGCTGCTCGTGGGCTTTGGGTTGACGTTTGAGGTATCGTGAAAACTGGATTTGTGGTACTTGAAAAGGGGCTCTGTCTTTTTTGTGGCCTCTTGCAGGGTTCTTCAGCGGAACTTTTCACACTATTCTGGCACAATGCCTCATATGTTAAATAATGCAAACTCCTTTGGCAGGGCTGGGCATGCAGCCAAGAAAGCAAGTCTGTTGGGACAATGCTTATGCGGATCTTTTTCATTTCACGGACCCATCACCGAACTTTCGCCGACGTGCTGTCTGACATTCTTGCAGACAGGGACCTTTAGATCAACTGTCTGCTATGACTGTTGCAGGAGTTGGACGGGCGACTTGTGGACGTTGATGTTGAAACTCTTGTTCTCATTCGGCCCTTGCCTCGAAACACAAATTCAATTCAGGGTCGCCTGCGGAGTAGAGACTCAGTACATCTCATTATCCAGCTACGAGCAGCCTGATGTTCCGAGATGTTCCGAGATCTTCCGAATTCCGACACTGGGCTCTCATCTGCAATCCAGGCGCACGGAGTCTGCTCATCTCCTGTTGAGAAAGGTCTTCTGCCCGTACCAGGGGCGGCGAGGTAATGCACAGCATTCGCAATGTTTAGCAACAACGCAGACGACAAGCTGGTTGAGCTGAGCGAGCTGTCACGAAATTCATATAATCGCAGGCCTGCCTTGAACTTGCACGGCCTGAGCTTCCTCACCAAGCCTCACAGCAACTGTTTTAGAGGTGCAAGGCTTTCTGCGGAGTTGCAGTGCAATGCTTGTGTAATTTGCCATGCTGGAAGTTCTGTCCAGTTCATGCTGAACCGTGTGCACGCTCGCTTGAGTCAAGCCAGCATCGAAGAGAAATAAAAACAAAGCAGTATACCGTGTCATGGATGAACTCAAGCAATGGCGAAGCGCAGTGAGCAGCTCAGCCTCCGGCGTAGCTGGGCAAGCCACAACAGTCAGATGGACGCCTGTGTGAACCTTATCTGGCAAGTAGAACAGTGCATGGTTGCACTATGATGGAATGCTTGCAGGGGACATCTGCAGGACCTGTGTACTTCTTGTCAAGGGAAAATCTGCAGTAGGTTTTAGCCGCTCTCTCTCTCTCTCTGTCCTGCACGCCTAGCCCCCCCCGAAGGGAAGCTGCTCCTAGTCGTGCTCTCTCTCTCTCTCTCTCTCTCTCCCTCCCACACGCATAGCCCCGTCGAAAGGGAGCTGCCCCGAGGGGCGCGCACAGTCCTCTCTCTTCACTTCGCAGTCCTCTCTCTCTCTCTCTCTCTCTTCCTTCTGACTTATTGAAAATTGCTCTTCCCCCGAGTGGCCACCAAGGCTTCAGTTGCCTTGACCTCACCATCCAGCAAAAGACGACAGAACACCTCGATGTGCACAACGGCTCATGTATAAAACTTCACAGAGAGAGAGAGAGAGAGAGAGAGCGCGACTTCCCACGATGGAAATGCGTACCTGAACGAGTCTGTGACGCATCTGGCTTTGTGCGGCACCAGGCGCGATTTCCCCGCTCTGCAGCGTGTCGCAGCTGCCAGTCATGGCATCGCGCCAGCTCCAAAATACTATAGAAATTTGAGTCACTTCCCTAAGCCACGCTGTGAGACTGGGATGACGAACCAAGAATCGCACCGGGATAGGAAAGCTCCAGGACTGGGGAGAAGGTATCTTTCACCTAAGGCACTTGAGCCAAACTGCTCAGCCTCCTCATGTTTCTATCAGGTGCTGGATGTCGCTAGGCACGGTCGTCATTTGTGTTGTGAGTGGACTCTCTCTCAACGTTTCGTATGAGACATGACGAAATGACCAAGTACCGGTTCGCACCTTCAAGTCCGCCAACCATGGTGATCTTGGCTGAGCTAACCAAGCGAGAACCTTGCGCAGAGCGACAGAGCCATGACAGGTCCACAAGACAGCACGGGCATGCACCTTACGCACTAAAATCGTTTGCAAGCAGCATCTCGCTCTACCCTCTTTGCCCGGGAGGCTAGAACTTGCGGCCAACTCGTTTCAAGCTGCAAATCATGGGCGCAAGAAATGTCCTCCCCCGTGACAAGCATGACTGCTTGGCAACTACTTTTTGGTCGACGCCTTGGACTGCCAGCCAGGCTCCTGCCAAGATGCATCCCAAAACGGACCGTGGAAAGACTTTACCACTTGATGGTGCTGGAATAAGCCCTGCCCTGTTCGCGCAGCTCCAACTTCCAACGCCATGTTTGCATTGCTTGCATGCTGCATGCATGTTACGCGGCCTAACCCTGCGTAACCTTGAGGATACGAATCCAGACTCTGGGACAGAAGTCCGCGACAGAAGCATGCTGCGTCAGTATAACTGTCGTCATCGTGTGAAGTTGGGACGACGGCCGATATGACAAATATTGCACACCCAACATGACAGAGACTGCTGAAATCTCATGTAAGCATTCCGGAGTTCCAGGCCATTGAACTTGTTTGCTCTTAGGTGCATTGTCATTGTCGACCTGAGCAATCTGAACTACAACGTCATGCCTTGGAGATGATTTCAACAGCTTTACCTTTTACATGGATATTGATGATGCGCGTGACAAGTCATCTCACGTAAACTTATGCCCGTGCACGGCAGTTGATACAAAGGTACTGCGAAGCTCGGCAGACCCTCCTGCAAGACTGTGTTTGGTTGTGCTGGTATCTTGATGTGGTTGGACCAGCTTGGGTCAGGCAAAACAGCGGCTATTCGGAAAATCACAGATGGATCCATGCAAGGGAGTTCAATATAGAGCTTTAACTTGGCTTTACAGGTAGTCCTGCTATTGTAAGTAATTCTTGCGAACTCCACCCGGTAATTAAGGGCCACCTACAGAATTCGGGGCGAGTCCATCTTCCGAGACATCCATCCTGTCCATTCCGTGCAACGGCAGGCAATTTCCTTGACAATGGCGACACTCAAGACAGGGGGGAAGTCCTCGAGATATTCATCGGTATTCTCACAGAAAAAGCAATTCACTGGAGACACTGTCTTCCTTTGAAGAGAAATCAGAGTCAACGGTGGGCTATACTAGAACCGTGACAGACAAGCCAAGGACGGCCTGCGACAGCCAAACGTTTGTTCCCGGCCTGAGGCCCGACGGCCACGATGCCCTCATGGCGCCCAAACACAAACTACAAGATATGACATTTTCGGGCCCTTCACTTACGACCTCATAGCCTGTTGAGGTCAGTTGCGCGGGATGCCGGGATGCCCCTTCGACACAATACGAGAGCCCTCTGTAACCCAGATCTGGGGAATCGAGCCGCACCCCCATGTTTCCGTTTCTGTGACGTTACCTCGGCTCTCGGCCTGTCTTTTACAGCTGTTGCACGGCTTAGAAGCGGTTCTTAGACGCTTCCAGCAGTCCTCAAGCTTCGGCACTTCCGCAGGCGCTTTGGACCTAAAAGTCAAAATTGCAGAACGCTTTCCGCAACTCCTTCACAACCACCCTAAACCCTAAACCCTAAACCCTAAACCCTAAACCCTAAACCCTAAACCCTCTTCCCTAAACCCCAATAACAAGCAGCAAGCCGGGCCTCAGCAGCGCCGCCGAGCGCAGCAGCACAGCATAGAGTGGCGCAGGGGGGCCCTCGTCCATGAGCTGCAGCGGGAACCTCTTAGGGCCAGTGCGGTTTAGGGTTTAGGGTTTAGGGTTTAGGGTTTAGGGTTTCGGTTTAGGATTTAGGGTTAGGGTTCAGGGTTTAGGGTTTAGGGTTTAGGGTTTAGGGTTGAGGGTTTAGGGTGTAGGGTTTAGGGCGCCCTCTGTGAAAGATTCGCTTCTCTCTCGGGGCCCCTGGCAGCGCTGCAGCGGCCCGCAGCTCTGCAGCGGCCCCTCGTAGCAAGGGGATGGAGAGGGCACCTGTGCACCAAACTGCCGTGTCTTTTTGTCAGGTTTTCGATTCACTCTCACTAATGCAAAGAGGGTTTTAAAAAAAAAAACCTGTTTTCGATTCACTCTCACTAAGCATGGTTGAGCTTCTCATGTCCAAGCTCTCGCGGGACGGTGCGGGACTGTCGTGGCTGGCGACAGGCATATGCAGAGCCACCTGCATCGACGGTTTCATCGTCCCCGTTTTCGGCGGGTGCCTGCTCATCTTCACTGAAGTTATTGTGAAGTTACTTGCATCTGGCACGAACTTGGCCGCAACCTGTGTGGCTTCTGCCCTCAGCGCGCGCCGCGCGCAGCGCTGCAGAGCAGAGCGCAGGCTCTCCGGCGGTGGTCGCAACCGGCTGGGGGCAACCTGTGCGGCCTCGCAAGTGCTCTCTCGCTCTCTCGCTCTCTCGCCCTCGCTCGCTCCGCACGCTCTGCGAAACCGCTTTGCTCACATGGTCCTTCCAAGATCTGCTATCGGTACTCAAGGAACGAACAGAAAGCCTCCACCAGACCCCCTCGCCGCTCTGCATCTACATTCTGTTACATTCTTCAATCCCTTTGAGGGTGCACTGCGCCACGATGGGCCTCGCCTCTGGTTGCCAGGATGCCTGGCTGTCGCTGGAGAGGAACTCCTGGTGCCGAAACTGCAACAAGTTTAGCACGCTGCCTCGGCAGGTACGGCAAGCCGGCCTTGTCTGGAATACAGGGGAGCAAGCAGTTCGCCACAGATCGACACCTCACCAGACAAGTTGAACATGGGAGTTCTCGCGATCTTTGCCCGTTTCAGCAAGAACTCTTCTCAGCTCCGGAAACTTCAACTTATTTGACTTTCCACGTACTCGGCAGGCCGCATGGGGCAGGGGAACTCCCCGCCAGCGGCATCAACGAAGAAGAAATGCGATCTACCTGCCTGCGCGATTCGTGATCATTCATAGTCCAGTATAATACGCCACACAAACCTGCACTTGATTGGCCCGACACAAACTGTTTCTCAGAGCTACGGCAGCTGTTCTTGTCCATGCGGGAGCCTGGTTTCTGACATCCTGAGCGTGCGCCTCTCCACAGCCCACCTTGGAGAAAGGCAAGGGGCTCATCAGGTGCACCATACCGCAAACTGTGGTCATGCCATCATGTCGAACCATACCTCCCACACAACGATACACAAGGACACAGGATACACAGACGGGTGAGCCACGCCCCGTGCTCGCGACTCCTCGCATCAGTCTTGTTGCTGACATGTTTTTGCAACCGGCTTTGCGACCGTCTTTGTGAGTCATGCCGAGTGGGCTATCTTTGGTCCACTCCTACTTGGTGGATCACCTTGCATACAAGGAGGTGGTGAACGCGTTGCAGAACTCAGGGTGAAGCCTGCAGAACTCTGGCTGCAGGTGCGACACCGCTATCTCCAGCATCTCCAAGTTCGCCACCACCGTGTTCAGCCTCTCCATGGCATCGCGGAGATGCGCCTCCCAGTACCAGCCAGGTGGCTTTCCACTCTTCATCTCTTCCACCTGCAGGCCCTGTGGATTACTCCACATTCGTTCAGCAAAGGCAGCTGCGCGGGGAAAGATCAAGCTCATGGCGTTGCCCATGCCTCCAACCTCAGACCATAGTGCCATCTCAGCGCCCAGGAAGGCCTTTTGACAAGCTGAGGTGTTAATGTGCCCGTATCCCTGTGTAATGTTTAGGGAATACAGCGCTGCCCATGAAGCACGAGGACACCAATAGTTTGGATCCATCGAAGCCCAGTTCGCACCAGAGCCACAATCCATGTAGAGCCAACCATATTGTAAGCCTCCTTGGGGGTACGTGGCTGCACTTTGAAGCAGATCATACTTCCTGCAGTCCTCTTCAGAGAGTGTAGGCCGTCCAGACCCAGCTGCAGGGAACTCCCACAACTGCAGCGCAGACTTGCTCTTAAGGTGCGTAGGAGGAAGCTTCACGGCGCAGTCCGAAACGGCTCCGGACCACACAGCTCTTGGCACCTTGGCAGGCGAAGGGTCGACGGAGTTGAAGTAGTACTGCACCTTGTCATTGAGAAGTTCTGGGAACCAGTACGTCTCATTGCTGTCGGGTTTCACAGGTACTGGTTCACAACCTTCGGACCATGGGAAAGCACACTGGTCCCAGCATTTTCTCTTCTGATGCTCCGGGAGCAGTGTGCAAAGGGATGCTGCGACGGGCTCGTCACCACCTATATGAAGGAACGGCAAGGTCGAAAAGTCCTCTTCTACCTGCTGCAAGGCACTTCTCACGAACTCCAAGGCTCGAGCATCAGATATGTTCCAGGTGCCGGGTGGTGGTTCAACTGCATACTGCTGCGTGGAGTACTCCGCAGTTGCTGCCACAGTGAGGTGCAGAGGGTCACCAGAGGCAAGTGCGGGAGCATGCATTGGGCCATCGATCTCCGGCATGATCGACATACCACGCAAACGTGCAAACTCCACGAGGTCCCGAACATCGGCACGCGAATATGTGAGAGGCTCTCCGTTGTTATCACGGTAGCTCAAATGTCGAGCTGCATCAGGATAGCCATCCACTTCGAGGGGCCACGATGCCGTGTCGGTGAGATGCAAGTGCAAGACGTTCAGCTTGAATTCTGCAAGAGAACTCACAAGTGCCTTGATCCAGGGAAGTGAGTACCACTGCCGCGACACATCCAACAGAAAGCCCCGGTGCACAAAAGCCGCTCGATCTTGGATGACATGTGGGCAAGCTGGGATCGTGATCTTCGTCTGTTTATGGGACACCCTGATGGACAGCAACTGGTACAGAGTCGACATTGCATTGGCAAGGGCCCACGAAGTTGGAGCCTCGATGTCGATCCCTCCAGGTCCGACTCTGAGGGCATAGCTCTCGTTCCGTTCATGGATTGGTTTCCACGAGTCCCAGCCATTCCAAGGCTCAACCTGGTACCGAAAGCTCACAGTGAAGTCAAGGTGCTGTGGCTGCTTGGGTGCTGGCAAACTTGGCAAACGTGACAGAAACTGTGCCTCAACGATGTTGAAGGCTTCTGGACCTGCTGATCGGGCAGCTTCTTTGAAGATGAGCAACATCAGCGGCGTGAGATGAAGCTCCACATCGCCACTCCGGTGCGAGAGCGGCTTGGGGATAAGGACTTGGCGCTTTCCTTGCATCCTTTTCGGGTTGCTGTCGTTGATAAACGTGCTGTCTTTTCCTTGCTTGCCCGAGATCTGTTTCTGAAGGAGGGCCGATTCATCTGAGGGCCCTTCCTCAACGCAGGTGTCATGGTCAGAGGCACCAACACAAGCCAGCACTAAAATGCCCAGTGCGGCCAAGAGAGGACGCAGAGTGGAATTTGGCATCTCAAATATACTGCAAGATGGCTGGACGAGTCTGGATCATAAGTAAGCTGGTCGAAACAAGAAGATGCTGCCGCTGCTCCTGTTCCCAGTCCTACTTGTACCCTACTACTAGTACTACTAGCACAGCTAGCACTACTTGCACTATTTGTGCTGCTAGTCTGCTAGTACTACGGTACGTATCATATGGGCCGTTCTGTGGCAATGTGATGTTGAGCCTCGGGAAGCAGCGACGTCGGTCCTGTATGTTGTGTTGGGGATGCAGGACTTGTATCAGCAACAGTTTGTATCATGGGGCGTTCTGTGGCAACATAATGTTGAACCTGCGGAAGTAGCGAGGTCGGTCTTTTATGTTGCATTTGCGATTTGACTATTCGTGGCTTGCTCCTTTTGCTGCCGGTGCATGGGTGTGCGCGACTTCGGGTTCCTGTTCTTGCGAACAACTCAAGCACCAATGTGCCAATGAGGGATCATTGAGTTGCCAAGTGCTGGTCAAACCCTCAGTTAGAAGTTAGAGTAGCTTGCTAGTAGTAGTAGTAGTAGTAGTAGTAGTAGTACTACTACTACTACTACTACTCCTACTACTACTACTACTACTACTACTACTACTACTACTACTACTACTACTACTACTACTACTACTACTACTACTAGTACTACTACTACTACTACTACTACTACTACTACTACTACTACTACTACTACTACTACTACTACTACTACTGCTACTCCTACTGCTACTCCTTCTGCTACTCCTACTGCTACTGCTACTGCTACTACTGCTACTACTGCTACTACTGCTACTACTGCTACTACTGCTACTACTGCTACTACTACTACTACTACTACTACTACTACTACTACTACTACTACTACTACTACTACTACTAACTATAGCCATAATATTTAATCTACTACTAGTAGTACTACCCGCACTAGTACTACCTGCACAATTCCCAGCAGGACATGCGTGCACAGACGCAGCTTGGCTAGGCACGTGTACCAGATGTCGGCAGGACGTGAAGCGAGCGTAGCCTCTGACACTCCCTACGCTCTGTTTAGTGAACATGTCAGGCATGCCATCCCGCACTGGTCGTTTAACCGTGTTAACAGCCCACGAGATAACCCCACCTGAGTTTCACATGCATACGTCTGGCTCCAACATGCAACACAAGATTTGCCGTCGCTGCCTGGAAGGGCGCCTCGAGAGCTAGACTTGGCTTGCCATGGCACGACCTTTTGGAAAGGAGGCAATCTTATCACACTACCGGGCAATGTGCTCTTTGTCAGAGGTTGTTTGACACAAGCAACCGAAACAGAGCAGCAAAACGCAGAGGTGCCACAATAGCTGTGTCCATTCCTGTGACTGATGACCAGCCACCCACCTAATCACAACTCATCTTGTGTGGTACAATGGCGCCCGTCCCAGGGACTCGCAGGGGAGCCGGCCGCGGCCAGCATAGCAAGTGGGTTCTCTGGAGTCCCGGCCTCAGCCGTGCGACTTTCGATGTAGCGAGATTACATAGATGTTACAGGTATGGCCAAGGGAACAGGAGCCGGAATCTGTGCTGCTTGAGTTGTGCTCAGCTCCACTCCTCCCGGCACGTGGCGCACCTTTCCGCAGATGCGGGAGGTGGCAAGCTCTGAAAGCGACCATTCGTACGAGGACACACAAGTGACATATCATCTGCGCTGCCATTATCCACGTCTGCAATCGGCGATACAAAGCACCATTTCTTCACGTATATAAGTGACCTTGCTTCGGGTAAAGATCTTCGCAAGGGGCATGCTCAGTGCATCTGTGTTTCCTGCCACCAGTGGCGCCCATGACAAGTTGTCATGGCATGTCATGGCCTTCATGGCTTTGCAAAGGCCTCAAGCCACATGCCTGACCCTGTCAAAGCCATGAATTTAGCTAACGTGTAGGTCTTTCGATAAATGTATGAGTGAGGTATGCCCTCGCAATATTCCGTGGAGCAAAGGCAGCAAACATCCGCAGATGGCGCACCATGATCCCTGCGTGACTGCGCCTCCATGCTTAGACTGAGTGCCACACTGCCACAAAGCATCGGAGTCCTCATCATCCGAGAAGCTTCCGCTGCACGACTATCTTTGACCAGCCTACACAAGTCAGACAAAGTAAGGCTCATCAGAAGGTACTCGCAACCTGCCATGAACACAGCAAGAGTTGATCTCCCGAAGCAACTTGCACCCTTGTATGCAAACCATATCGTCACTTCTTTGATTGATGGGTTTTCTTATACTACGGCCCTAGAGCTTTGGGTTAAAGGGAGCTTAAGTTAGACACATGACCATGTGCAACGATACCACCCAGTACAATACCACTCACCTGAAGCAAAGAAGTGGTGCCGGTTCCTTTACCTTCTCGCAGTACATCGATTCAAGCCTGTCTGGAGGCAAATGCCTTAGGTATTGCAAAATGCGAATATATGTCTTCTGATTATGCCATGAGAATATAATACGACCATGTTATGATGATATTACGTGATTCCATGAATGGATTATATACTATGGAATTACTATACTATGAATATATACCATTACGGTAGTGTTGTATAGATTTGAAGGATCTCCACCAAGTGACAGCTCAATGAGACAATCATGGGTTTCTTGCAAAGCACCCTAACCAAAACGAGCTCAAACAAAGGGGCCCAGAGAACTCCGCAATACCACATAAAGTGCACCAGCAACAGCCAAAAAAACGCCCCAAAAAACACAAGAACTTGCAGAATTTCAGAGCACAACTCAACCACCCCAACCACACAAATGCTCGGGATTAAAAAGAATCCAGAAGACTTCAAAAGGCGTCTTATTCAGAAACCTTTCATGACAAAGTGCCAGCGCGTGACAGTGCACAAGGTTCAAAGCACAAATTGCAAAACACCCACGAAAACCACACCAGCAACAGCACAAGCTCGGAGAACAAACGGCAGATCAAGCCACAGAGACAAATAGCAGAACGTCGGTGCACAAATCTGCAAATCATGACCACAACAATTCCACAAACCATGAGCGGAAACTCAGTTGGCAAAAATATCTGAGTAAGCCAGACGTCAGGCGTGCGTTTATTGTGCCTGTGTTTGTGCTCATGGTTACTCTAAAACGGATCATCCAAACGTATCGTGCTGCATTGAAAAGCATATCCAGCCTTTCATCAGGGCCAGGCAGCGCTGACAACCGTAGACTGACGGACATATTTTGAAGGCAAGTGGCCTACCGTGTCGGATGTCGGTTTGCAGTTCTCTGCTTAATTTTGAGGCTTTGAGCCCACACCATGCCATGGGCATCCAAAGCTCTAAGAGATGGCACAAAGGAGATTGACGCCTAGCCATCGTGGTACCACGCATGGCTGGCCAATAAATGAAGTTGTTCAGCAATGCTAGCAGTAGTCGTTGTGTCTAGTAGTCGGGGGAGCCGCTCCCAACGTGCCGACCTCTCGCAGGCACAGGCAAGACTGGCACAAGTGACGACATCCGATGTCAAGCGGCTGCTAGGCAAGCCTGCAAAAACAAGCAGCGCCATAGGCCACTGAAACCTGTGGCCACAGGCACGTACGGCACTGGAACAGCCAAGAGCATCAGGAGCCTGGCTTTGAGCCTGCTGCTTCATCAACACATCGATTGCCATCTCCCATCGTGCCACAGCTTCAAAAGCACTGGTGACGCTGTTGTAGCAGATGGCATCTGGCGACTTACTAGACTCCTTCATGTCGCACAAAAGCCGCAGAACGCACATCCAGTCGGCTCCGCGCTCGCAAGCACTTACTAAGCTGCTGCAAGTGATGAGGTCTGCGATGACACGAGCCGCCGGCATTGCCTCCAGTATCAGCAGGGCATGCTCCCAATGATCGCCTTTCTCCGCTGCACTGATCGCAGTGTTGAAGCTTATAACATTGGCTGTTGTGCTTCTGTTTGGCATGCTAAAGAGCAGCTGGCAAGCACGTTGCCATTCGGCGCTTCTTGCGAATGAACTCAGCACACTGTTGTAGGTAATGACGTTCGGGCGCATGTGGCGCCTGCACATATCTTCCAGAAGAACTAAGAAAACCTGCCATTGTGTTTCACTTGTTCCGATTGCACTGTTGTAGCTGATCACATCCGGCAAAGTCCTTCGCAATGGCATGCAGCCCAGTAGTTGCAGTGCGATCGGCCACTGCTCGCCCCGTTTGCACACCGTGATGGTGCTGTGGAAAGCAAGGCGGCTTGGGCACAGCGAGAGTAAGCCCAGGCCTACTTGCCAATGCCCCGAGCTTTGGGCAGCAAGCATTGGACTGCTGTAACATATGACATTGGGAACAGCCCTGCATGTGGGCATTTCTGACAGCAAGACTAAGCAAGCCCTCCAATTCCTACCTTTCTCGCAAGCACTGCCTGCGGCACTGAAGGAATACACGTCCGCTGACATGCTCACACGGCTCATCCTCATCATCAATCCCAAAGAGCCCTGCCATTGGCCACAATTTTCATTGGCGCTAATGGCAGTGTTGAAGCTGACAACGCTTGGCGAAATACCGGCCACAGAAATTCTGCTCAAAAGTTGGAGTGCCACGTGCCACTGATCGCCATGGTCGAAGGCGCTGATAACAGTGTTGAAGCTTACAACATTGGCTGTGGTGCTTCTTTTTGGCATTTCATCTAAGAGATGGAGAGCCATCTGCCAGCAGCGTCCTAGCTGGCAGCCTTTGATGACACTGCTGAATGTGATCACGTTCGGAGACATGCTGAAGGCCGGAGCTGTTGCAAGCATCCAAAGGGCGGAAGGCCATTTTCTGCGGATGTTGGAATTGCAGCAGATTGGTTCATCACATGCCAAGTTCCAGGAACTGTTGTGCTCGGATGACGCAGTGTGCTGCAACCAATCATCGGAAGCGAAGTCACCAAGCCCTTCAAGTTTCATTACAACTCCATCCGGTGCCGCATTCTGCAAGAGGGCCAAAGCTGCAGACTACGCTGTCGAGCCGACCCTATACATCCTCCTTGCACTAAGTTGCACTACGGTAACACTTCTCTTTCTGCCCTTTAAGGAGACGTCCTCCACTTCGTTTTCCTCGTCGAGAGCACCTCCGGCAAACCCCCCCGGAATCTCAGATCTCAGCTCGACCCGCCATGAAGCACCAATATGCGTACATCATGCAAATAAGACGAATTAAAGCAAGTAAGAAGTCTGAAGTGACAACCGCGCCTTGTCCGGCCTCCATTGCAGCCACGGCTTGGCTCTGCTGTTGCTGCATGCGCCGCATCAGAGCCTGGAAGAGAAAGCTTGAGATGCCAGGGGCCTTGTGGGTGAGGTCACCCGATCCAGCATGCAGTAGCTGCGACTTGATCTCTCAAGAAGAGTCCCGCCGAAGATGCATAGAATCCCAGGATGTACCCAGAGAATTTCAGCAAACGCACAAGCACAGATCGCGAAACACATCACCTTTTCAGCGACCTTCAACAACTCAGTCGTTACACCCCTGCTCAGCAGAGCATCAGCTACTCAAAGGAACATACTTACTGCCTGGACTCACCACATCACATAATGCATGGCAGTACGAAAAGCAGATGCAGAGCTGTCGAAGAACAACGCGCTCCCATTAGCCATGAGCTCTTGCCTGCTGGCGCTGTCGCATTGCTTCCATTCGGAGCCTGTCTGCAAACACATCTGGTGAGTTCACTGCAAAGACACGCAGGCCACGGGTGGGTCCCTCAACGTGGAGCTGATTCAGAAATTGACAGAAGTAGCCGTGCAAGGCCTGGTACTTACGGCTACGTGAGTGTAGGTTTCGGAAGACAACCTCTAATCACCTGCCACAACTTTTGCGCCTGGTTATGTTGGTATATCGGTGACCAAGCAAACAAGCACCACAACAACGAAGCCTGCTCGCAAGCCATTCGCAACAAAGAAAAGAAGCAAAGCCAAGCAAAAGGCGACCAAACCAAAGTCCAAAGTCCACCAAAATTGGGACCTCGAGGCACAGCGCTCTGATTCATGAGGAGAAAACTAGTAAGGAAGCATTCCCTTTGCCAAGACCGGGCCTAGGTGCTCAGATTCCAGGATCGGAAAGTGAGTTCTTCTTGCGTTCTTGCATGTAGGTTTGATTCTGTATGCCTGAGCTGTCAAAGCAAAGATCTTTGGAGCACTAGAAACAAGACCCACGCCACATCACCGTGCCCTATTGTATGAGTTTTCTGTAGAATTTACGCCTCTTTTGTGGCTTCCGTGGCCTCTTTCGCGTCTCTGCAGAGTCTTCCGCAGCGGAGGCATTTCTCGCTTGATCGTCTGCCAGATTCAGCAGGAAAGGGGCACATCCTACACGCATGCGTGCCAGCACGGCATTGTGCACCACAGTGACAACTGAAATGTCCCTAAATGTCCCTCGAAGCTTCAAAGGCGTGGCGAGTGGCTTCCAATGCCAAGAGCTTGCCAGCGCTCACGCCTGGCAACTGCGTGGCGGAACCATCCGAGGCACATGGAAGATTGAACACATGAAGCACGATGATTCTGGACGAAGCCTCTTCCCCAACTTGATGCAAATCCCAGGGCTCAGAAAGGGCCCGAAGCAAAGTGGCGCCAGGAGCGCAGCCGCTGCGGCAGGAATTTGGACCCCACGGCGCGCTGGAGCACCGGATGGTCCAAGTGGGCCTCCGAGTCTTGCACTGTCTTCGCGTGAAAGGCACAAGAATGAACAACCATGGAAAGTTTGTGGGTTGGGGGGGGGGGAAGGAGGAAAGAAGGTTCTGAATTCTGAATTAGATAGGCGTCCCTTCTGGAGAGACCTGTTGACCCTGTTCGAAGGACTCCTGTGGTCGAAATGTTTCGGGGACCCAGACTGTGTATAGCAAAACAGCTCCGGGACACTGGCAGCTGTGGCCCTGTAAAGCGCCCCCCCAAAGACTTCTCTGAGCCATCATGCCAGTGCTCCTCAACTGAACCCTAAACCCTAAACCCTAAACACTAAACCGACTTGATTCTTTTTGCCCCTGTTGCCACAGCTTCTGCGCCTCGCCCAGAACGCCCAAGCTGCGGAGGATGGCCTGTGAGTGACAGTCTAGGGTTTAGGGTTTAGGGTTTATAGGGTTTAGGGTTACAACATTTCGAGAGGCTCAGGAGTCGGGACTCGGGTGAGCATTGAGGTGTCCCATGCTAAGTGCAGCGTGATGGGCAGGAGACTGGCATGTCAGCTTCTCGACACATGTCCGCTGCCTCGTGCCGCGTGGGCGCTGGACCATCTGGTGGCAAGCACAGATGCCAGGTACTCGCGCTGAAAGAACAACATGCGCTCGCTGTCTGCAGATGCCTCCCCAGAAGCCTTCTCTGAAGTAAAGTACGAAGCAGAATGTCCATAAATTCATGTAAATATCTGGAATGGTACTACTTTAAGTTGCTTTCAGTTGCAGTACTCCAGGGGGTCATTGACCTAGACTCATGAGTTCCACCTGCACAAGCAACCTGGCCTTCCTCAGCCATGGCAGTCACCAGCTACGGTGATGCAACTCACATGGCATGCCGCGACGTCGGAGGACCTAGCTGAAAGTGCTCTTGAATGTCTTGGCTGTGTTTTTGTCGATGGGTTTTTGTGTATGGCTATGAGCCCAGGGAGCTAATTTCCAACCGTGCAGCACGCGGCAGCTCAGAGCTTGCGTGGCATGGTTCATCCCAGACTCTCACAAGCATCGAAACGCGGCATGAAACGCTCTTTGTTCACCGCCATGCACAAGGGACCAGGTCTGCCAATCTTCTTGAAGCACTTGGAGGCCTCTGAGCAAATTCATGAATTCCGGAGATGCCCGAGAGCTTGCATTGACTGCCTCGATCACACTCCCAAGGCAGGTTACATTGGGCAGGACTTCTGCGGTCGGCATGTCCGACAGCAGCTGAAGGGCAAGCTCCCACTGCGCAGCTTTTGCAGATATGCTGAGAGCACTAGCGTACGTGATGACATCGGGCAGCAAGTCTTCAGCAGCCATCTGAACGAGGACGTCAAGCATCGCACGCCACTGACCTCTCTTCTCATAAGAGACCATCGTGCTGTTATACGTAACAACATCCGGGACAACTCGGGACTCCTTCATCTTGGCAAGCAGTTGCAAGCAGAGAGATGGCTGAGATCCCTCAGCCAGGGCGGCAATGGTGGTGTTGTAGGTGATGATGCTTGGGGTTGCATCCGCCGTGATGGCACAGCTTAGCAGCTGCAGGGCCATTTGCCACTCCCTTCCTTTCTCACAAGCACTGATAGCACTGCTGTATGAGATCGTATCTGGTGCGACCTCGATGCGCATGCCCGACAAGATCTGAAGAGCCAGTGGCCACTGTCCACCTCTCTCACAAGCTGTGATGGCGCTGTTGTAGCTGATCACATCGCGCTTGCCAGGGATGACTTCCAGCAACTGGAGAGCCAGCTGCCATTCGCCAGCCATTCCACATACACTAATGGCACTACTATAGGTGATAATGCCGGGCACGAGCTTCTTCTGCGGCATTTGTGACAACAGGTGAAGCGCAACCTGCCACTTTCCGATTTTCTCACAAGAACTGATGGCACCATTATAGCTCATCGCATTCGGCATGAGCTTCATGACCGGCATGTCTCCCAGCACTTGCACTGCGACCTGCCATTGACCACAATCTTTGCAAGCACTGATGGCACTGCTGCAAGCAATTACGTCTGGACTAATTTTCGCGATGCGGATATCTTGCAATAGTTGAAGTGCCGGCTGCCACTCGCCACACTTCTCGCACGCGCTAATGGCCGCGCTGTAGCTAATGACGCTTGGACGAATGAGCTGCCTGCCCATGTCTGTCAGCAAGTGCACTGCTAGCTCCCACTGCGAGCCCTTCTCGCAAGCGCTGATGGCACTGCTGCAACTGATAACGTCAAGCTTGGAGCGGGCAGCTGCCATGTCCGCCAGCAGTAGAACAGCAAGCTGCCAGCGCCCAGCCTTCTCACAAGTGCTTATGGTGCTATTGTAGCTGATAACATCAAGCGGAAGAGTGGCCGCACCCATGCAGTCCATGAGGCCAGTGGCCAGCTGCCACTGTCCCGATGCGCTGATTGCACTACTGTAGCTGATGCCATTGGGCACAGCCCTTGCCGCGGGCATGGCAGAAAGTAGGTTCATGATGTCCTTCCACCGCCCCACACATGCACTGACTGAGCTATTAAAACTGATCTCATTCGGCAGAGACGCATGAGTGGGCATCTGCTCTAGGAGGTTCAAGGACATTTGCCATTGGGATCCTTTTTCGCAAGAGCTGATGGCAGCACTGAAGCTGATTATGTTGGGGCTTGTGAGCTGCCTCCTCATGTGCTTCAGCAGCTGCAGTACAAGCTCCCACGAATCCGGCTTCCTGCATCTGGATATTGCAGCATTGTAATGCCACACCGACACTTCCACTTGAAACACGAGCATCTCCTGCAAAACTGAAAACAAAAACGATGGTTTGCCAGCAAACGTCCGTAGAAATGTCTCCGCGTGCCGCGGTTCCTTCCGCCAGTCTTGCAACAACGCAACGTCCATCTGAGCTGCAGCCCTGTGAGTGCTGCGATCCACCTGCATCTCGCAGCCTAAATAAACCCAACCCAAAACCCGAATCCCATACCAAGCCACAAACCACTCTTTGAGCCGACACATCAGCCTAGCAGAATGCAACTTGTGGCTTCAAGGCCTTCTTAGCCTCGTGCGCTCAGAAAACCAAAGCAGTGCAGGTTTCGCTTTATTTTTGCGGTCAGCGTCCTCGCAAGCACTCGTTACATTGCTGAACAAGACTTCATTTGGTCTGACCAAGAGTTCGGGCATATGATCTAGAAGGTAGAGGGTCAGTTGGCAATGTCTGGCCTTCTCACAGGCACTAATTGCACTGCTGCATGTAAGTACATTTGGCGTCGTGTAGAAGCGAGGCATTGTCGCAAGCAGGTGAAAAGCAAGCTGCCACTGGCTTGCCTTCTCACAACTACTGATAGCGCTAGTAAAACTGATGACGTTCGGCTGCGTCGTGCTTTCAAGCATGTCGGCCAACAACAGCAACGCCAGTGTCCACTCGCAACCCTTCTCACATGCACTGATGGAGCTGTTGTAACTAATGACGTCTGGAACAACGGTAGACGAGGTTATCTGGGCAAACAGGCTCAGCGCAGCTACCCACTGTCCAGCCTTCTCACATGCGCTCATGGTACTATTGTAGCTGTACACGTCTTGAACGACAGTCAAGGTTGCCGTATCAGCAAAAAGCAGCAGGGCCATCTGCCACTTAAGCGCATTCTCGCAGGCACTGATGGCGCTGTTGAAAGTTATGGTATCCGGGAGAACATGGCTTGTCACCATGCCTGCCACAAGCTGCAGTGCCCAACGCCATTCTGCCGCCTTCTCACACGCACTAATTGCACTATTGAAGCTGACCGCATTTGGTGCAGTACTGCTAGAAGACATATCGCCCAACAGGTACAAGGCAATCTCCCACCGCCCAAGTTTCTCGCAAGCACTGATGGTGCTGCTACAGCTGACGACGTTTGGGCGCAGTCTGAGCCAGAACATGTAACTCAAGATCTCCAATGCAACCTGCCACTGACCAGCTCTCTCACAAGCACTAATGATGCTGTTGCAGCTGATGACGTTAGGAGGCACTTCGGTGGTGGACATATGTTCCAAGAGCTGCAGCGCCACTTGCCACTGAGCACCCTCCTTGCAGGCATTGATAGCGCTGCTGCAGCTTATCACGTTGGGAACAATTCGGGTCATCAGCATGTCTGTCAAGATCGTGATGGCAACGTCCCAGCGGCATGCGCCGATAGTGCTATTGAATGTGATGCTTGTCGGCTCAACAGTAGCGGCCCTCGTCTCTCCGATCAGTTCGAGCGCCAACTGCCACTCACCACCTCTGCCACATGCGCTGATGGTGCTGTTGAATGACATGATGTCCTGTTGTATACTGCATCTCGGCATATCTGCCAGCAAATCCACAGCAATTTGCCATTGACCACATCTCTCGCAGGCGCTTATTGCACTGTTGTAGCAGTAATCATTCGGCGAGATCTTTGCCTGCTGCAGATCCTCAAGGAGGTACGTTGCGCTTTGCCATCGCTCGCCTTTTTGGCAAGCATTGATCGCACAAGCATAGCTGAAAACATTTGGAGACACCCGACTTGCGGGCATCCGTGTCAATAGCTCCAGGGCCAACCCCCAAGCTGAGCGCCTACCACAAGCATCAATGGTGTCATTGAAGCTTCTGATATTGGGCAGCACCCTCTCGATCGGCACTGCGGCCTGCACTCCTGCAGCCTTCATGCTTGAGCCGAGATACTGAAGCTGCTGATTGCTATGACGGGTTACGAGATGCCCCTAGCACAGTACTGACCGAGCGCCACGGGTGGAGAGAGAGAGAGAGAGCATGATTGAAAGCCTTGCAATGAGCCAAGGCGAGTTACTGAAAGCAACAGAGACACATTATGTACTTTAACCCTGACTGTATGTGATTGAAATAAGTCGCCTGTCATTACCACGTCCCATTTTCCAGATGCCTGTAGGATTTCTGCAGCTGAGCAAGTACTGTAACAGCAAAGAGCACCCGCTTAAGGTCGCCTGGCCCTTTGCCGTGGGCTCCCTCACAAGCCTCCAGCGCAGCGCCGAGATGGACCTCGTTAGGCTGCACCTGTGCCTTGGGCATCTCAAGCAGGAGCCAGTGGGCCAAAGGCCAGAGCCCTGCCGCCTGACAGGCTCGCATGGCATTGCTGTAGCTGATGATATTTGGGTTAACACGCTGGCTGGTCATGTCCGCAAGCAATAGAACAGCGACCCGCCACTTCCCACAAGTCTGGCAGGCACTGAGGGCACTGCTATACGTAATCACGTCCGGCAGGATATCAGTTGACAGCATGTCTTTCATGAGAGCCAGGGCGACGGTCCATTCACCAAACTTTTCACAAGCACCAATGGCCGCATTGTAGCTGATGGCATCCGGCACAAGTCCTTTCATTGGCATCTGTAGGAGCAGCATCAAAGCTATTTGCCACTGCCCGACCTTCTCACAAGCACTGATGACGCTGTTCACACAGATGACATCCACCGGTAGCTGCATGTGAGGCATCGCAGCAAACAGATGAAGCGCCAACTCCCACTTCAGTCCTTTCTCACAGGTGCTGATGACGCTGCTGCAAGTGATGGTGTTGGGTGTGAGCTGTGTGATAAGCATTGTCGCAAAGAGGGACAGCGCAATGTGCCAGTGACCGTCGTACTCGAGTGAGCTGAGAGCGCTGCTGAAGCTGATAACGTTGGGCGCCGGCATGTCGGTTAGAATCTGCAGGGCAACTTGCCACTGCGCGGCTTTCTCACAGACGCTGATGGCACTGTTGAAACTGATTGTATCTCGGACAATGTTCCTTTCTGGCATTGTGGCCAACAGCTGTACGGCTGCTTGCCATCGGCTTTGTTGCTCGCAGGCGCTGATTGCCCCACTAAAACTGATGACGTTAGGTGGAACCTTTGAAGTATCCATTCTAGCAATCAAGTGCAACGCAATCTGCCATTCGCCGCCGCGTGCACATGCATGTATGAGGCTGCTGTATGTAACAACATCTGGAGCAACCTTCGCATCCGACATTGTCGTGGCGACTAGCAGGAGAGCAATCGGCCATTGCCCACCTTTCTCACATGCGCTCAGCAGACCGTTGTAAGTGATAACATCGGGGGCTATTCTTGCTTGCAGCATGCCCGTCATGACCTGCATGGCCATTTCCCATTGCCCAGCCTTCTCACATGAACTAATCATGCTGTTGTAACAAATCACATCCGGCTGGGAATTCTGCAGACTCGACATGAGTTCCAGCGCGACTTGCCATTGTGAGCCCTTCTCACAGGCAGTGATCGCACTGCTGCAAACAATCACGTTTGGGACAACGCTGGCCAAAGCCATGCCGTCGAAGACCTTCAGGGCCACCTGCCACCCTGCTACCCTGCATGCAGCGATAGCACCCCCGTAGGTGATCGCATCTGGATGTATCTCATGTGCAGACATCTCATCCAGCAGTTGCAAAACCAAACTCCACGAATTCTTGTGCCGGCATTGTGATATGACAGCATTGTAATGAAAGACTGACATCTGAATTCCTTCAGCCCGCATTTCGTGCAACAGAGAGACCAAGGCACTGGCCTTAAGGCGAGAGTGGCGCAGATACCGCACTGCAGCTCTCGGGGCATCCCTCCAAGCTTCCAGCTCGGGCCTTGTTGGGATACAGCACATGGCTGTGGGCACTCCTCACAAACTTTTTCAACTGCCTTGAGCCGTTCTGTTATGCGAAGATGACACCGACGCGGCATGCGTGGAGTGGGACATCAACAGGGTGAGAGCGCGACACGTGCCCCACATCAAGAACGACTTTGCCTTCAGTCCTCCAGCAAAGTCCTGCTTCACCCGAATCTTCAAGCTGGAGCCCAACAAAACCTACGAAGCTGAGCTTCAACCACTCCCAAACACATAAACTCCTCAAACCAGGACGAAACCTTGACTTGGGGGGGAGGAGGGGGTGAACCGCTGGCACTGGAAAAGGCATGTTTTGCCCCTTTCCCCATCCATCGGCCATTCAATCTTTGCCAGGCAGTGAAATCGACACAACATATTCAGAACCCATCATCCTTCTGCAGCTTGGCTCGGTTGACAGTGGCAGCATCGGCCGCACCACCCCCTCTGCCCAGAAACACGAGCTTTTTCATGTCGCCTTTCTGCACCTTCGTACCTTCCGGCGTTGCACGGCTCGTACCCTTGGCTGTTAGGCAGCCCAGGGTCGGAGGAGCGACCTGAAGGCAGCGGGAGCTCCGCTTCAGAGTTCACCTTCAGTAGCTCAAGCTTGTCGTCTCGATCGGCATGCAAAAACTTGCCCCCCTCGCATCACTGGCGCAATCGCACAAGCACACATAAGCTGTTGCAGTGATTCTGCAGTTGCGCCAAGACAGTCGTAGCAGCTTGGCAAAGGGAAGCATTCTCACAGGCAAGAATGGCACAGGCATGACCACACATATCTGACGTGACTCTCACTGCCAGCATGCTTGAGTACAGCTGGATGACATGTCGCCACTGGAAGGATTCTCCGCAGGCGGTCATCGCACTGCCGAAGCTGACCTCATTGGGTTGTATCGCGAATCCCTGTAAGGACGAGTGCGCACGCAAGGCATGTTGCCACTGGGCTGCCTTTGAACATGCACTTATGAGGGTGCTGCCACTGACTACATTCTGGGCCGCCCCAGCACACATGTACGTGAACAGATATAAAGCAGTCGCCCAATACCCTCCTGCTTCACATGAAGTCATCGCAGCGCTGCAGCTGACTACATTCGGGCGTAGGGCCCTTGAGGCCAGTTCCTCGAGCAAGGACATGGACAACGGCCACTCTTCTCCCCGCGCAAGTGCGCTGATGTTGCTGTTGTACGTGATTATGTCTGGCCTGGTCATGCACAAATCCACAGCCACCAAGATTTGCAAAGCCGATTGCCAGGTTCCCTCACACGCACTACTAGCAGAATTCAGTGAGATGATGCTGGGCCGCAATCTTGTAGCATCTATGTCCGACAGAAGGGAAAGTGCAATCTCCCAGCGATTTCCTTTCTCACATGCAGCAAGTGTGCCGTTGTAAGCAATGACATCTGGAAGAACCTGTGTCGTCACCATTGTTGCAAGTAGATCAACAGCCATTTGCCACTGCCCACCCTTCTCACAAGCACTGATGGCACTACTAAAGCTAATGACGTCCGGCTGCAAGTGGGCAGAGGACAAAGCAGTCAGAAAATGCAGCGCAAGCTCCCAGTTTCCGGCCTTCTCGCAGGCACTTATTGTAGTGTTGTACGTGATTACGTCCATGCGCAGCTCCACCTTCCGCATGTCATCCATGAGCTGAACTGCGGCCTGCCATTGCCCGCCTTTTTCACAAGAAGTGATTGTGCTGTTGTAGCTGATAAGGTTGGGAACAAGCTGGGCGACGGGCATCTCGGCCAGCAGTTGGCAAGCCCTATTCCAGGCCTGTTTTGTCTGACAAGCACCAACTGCCTGGTTGTGCGCGATCAGGTCTGGACTTGACTGCTGGATGGGAATTTCCATCAATACTTGGAGAGCCGTCTGCCAATGGTCGTTCTTGCTAGATGCGGTGATGATGCCACTGTGGCTGATGATATTTGGCCGCACTGAGGACCGGGGCATGTGATCAAAGACATGCAACGCCAGCTGCCACTGGTCAGCTTTCTCCAATGTTGTGATCGCGCTGCTGCAGAGGACTACATCAGGAGAGACTCGTAGTGAGCTGAGATCCTCGAAGATCCGAACGACATTGGGCCACGCTCGTGTGTTGCGTCTGCACTGTGCGACTGCGGCGGTGCAGCGCGAAAGCGAGACCTCCAAAGCATCGCGTCGCAAGCCGCGCAGCGGCTTCAGCTGTCTCTCCTCCTGTCTGGTGAATTTGCGCAAGTGCCCCGCCTCAGTGGACTCATGCTTGGCGCACTGGCCGACTTGTGGCCTAGGCTGCCTAGGCTGGAAGTCCACGCGGGTCAGTGGCAGCGCTTGAGTTTTCATCTGCGGCAGATGGACAACGCCTACTGAACCTGAGCCTTTCCTAGACCGGCAGACCTTTCAGCATTTCCAAGACCGGCAGACCTTTGGACTGGACCCTGAACAACCCAGTGGAGCGAAGCTTCCGACCTACATTAATCCCCTCCCCCTAATACTGAAATCCCCGGCCCCCCCCCCCCTCCGCAAGTCTGAAATTCGGAAAAATGTTTAAATTAGGGGGGACCTAAACCCTAAAACCTGAAATCTGAACCCTCGGAGAGGAGGGAGTATAGGGTTTGGGGTTTGGGGTTCAGGGTTCAGTTAGGGTTTGCCTTAAGCCCTAAACCCTAATTAAACCCTCTGAGCCTCGAGTCCTAAACCTTGCAAATCCTCGGAGCCTTAAGCCCTAAACCCTAATTGAAAACCCTAATGGCTCAACTCAGGGCGGAGGCCCTCGACCCCCCCCTAATGCTCAAACAGGTTTAAGATTGGGCTGGGTGTCGGGAGGGTCCGGGAAAATATATAAAATTTGGGTGGGGTTTAGTATTAGGGGGAGGGGATTACGAAACAAATCTCTATGAAACTACCGCAAATGCGGCACAGAGACTCATCAGAGACTCACATGTTGCCGCGCACGCCTCGACGAGGTCGGGTGCTTGAAATTGGCACGGTGGAACGCAGCAAGCATGAATCGATGACTGCGCTGAAGCTGTTGAGTTGCAACATTTGGCTCGCATCGGGTTCGTTCGGTTAAGGTTCCAAGACTCATAATGGGCGAATCCACACCAGAAAAGGCGGCGAGCAGCTGAGTTTCTAAACGTTTCCACCTTTGCTATTTGGACGACGTCATGCCTCTGCAGCAATTGTGAACCGATGACGGTAGTAACGGATCTTGGGACAAGCCGTGGGTTCCCCAGGCTCCCTGCCGTACAAGAAACTGCTCGCTGGGCGAACTCCATCTCTCATTCTTCGACCCCATTCACGGCCGAATCTTAGCCTCGGGCAAGCGCGGAAGACCCGAACTATACATGGTGTGGCAAAGCAGCGAGCCTCGATCTTATCAATCAGCTGAAGCGCTGACCTTGCGGACTTCCTACTTGCAGCCGATCATCGACGCGCCTCGCAGTTGCTGGGGCCCTGCACTCGCGGCTTTCATGGCCGAGCAGGATCGGAAGTGGAGGCTCCGAGTGAGCTGGAGCATTGGCCTGGCCGCAAGCGAAAAACGCGTGCATTGCAGGAGCCATACGCATCAAATGCTGCGCTCGAGCCTGATAGCGTGCCCGGCGCTCCGCCAGCAACGAGCGCACCGCACGGCGTCGACGCTCCGCCGCCGCGCGAAGCGCGTCACGGTGGGCCGCACTGGCAGATGCTAAATCAGCGGCAAGCCTCCGTTGGACAGCCGTATATGCAAGGTCTTGCATGGTCCAGCCAGCACTCAGCAAGGCCGCGCCTTTGTCCTGCCAAGCTCTGCTCGATGCGACAGACTTCTTTGAACACCTTGTCAGAGAAGGATTCGGGCCGCAAGGTTCATAGGGTCCACGGCTGAAGTTCGGGAGTTGGTGGTTCCGTCGCTGAAACATGCTGAAACCATTCGGCACAGGCCCACTGGCAAGCACAGGTATAAGCAGCTAGCACGGAGCCAAAAAGGATATGAAAGGACGCGCTCCTTGATTTTGGACATACTGTACTCATTCAACGACTGGTGAGTCGTGGCAATGAACCGCAAACATCGACAGCAAACAAGAACGACCGCGCCGAGTCAGAAAACAGGACGGTACGAGTCAGAAAACAAGACAGCATGAGTGAGAAGAAACAAGAGGAAGCCGGCGATCGAGCGTGTCAAACCCTCAAGCCGAACCCTATAAGCCCTAAACCGATCATCAGTTCTGTATGTGGGGTTTATCCTGTTTTCGACTTGGGTTCAAGTCGTTTCCGACTCAAGGCTTTGCTGCTTTCGAGGTGGCTCGCAGTTACTTTTCCTGATCGGGCCCTCTAAAAGTCATATCGGTGATGGGAACGACGGCGTAGCACGCATCATGTTTCGACATCTGGCGCGAGGGTGTGATGGATGAGCTTGGACTTGGACGAAAAGCAAGGAAGGCTGGACATGGTTCGAAGCGACATGGTTCACGGCATGAAGGCTTATCGGACTTGGACTTTGAAGCCGCGTATCCATAACGTGACACGCACGTGCTTGGACTATCTTCCTATGCGCAAGTACGAACTTCAAAAGCCGCATAACACACCGCCTCTCAACTCCCCCTGATACAAGTAGATCTGGCGAAAGGAGGCTTGCATGGTGATCCTGCAGATTCACTCATGTCCTAGCTCAGTCTTTGAAGCTGCCTGGCCTATACCAAAGATAGGTATGACAGGGCTAGAGCTGCTCCTGCACCCTCCCCCGCCGGCCACTTCCCCTCTCCTTGTTGCAAATCACCTCGCCTGGTTGAACTGCTGCTTGGCAACCTCATCGCTGCCCCCATGGCAGGCAGGAAAGACCCAGCTCCCAGCTCACAAAAGACCGGGGTTCTGGCGGCCGGCAGCTCTTGCCCAGGGTCGCCTGGCGTGTCATTGCGTGCAGCATGAGACGAAACACTCTCACGTCAACACCTGCCTTCTTCGCACTCTCCACGGCCCTTAAAGGTCGACAACATAGCAGGAAAGACTGCAACACGTTATTCATCATGACAGAATGGATGAAAACAAAACCCTAACTTTCCTAACGCGACTCCCTGACATGAAGAAGACTTGGGTCAGGCCAAGCCCTCAGTAGGCTGAAGGCGCAAATAAAGGAGCACAGGACGCATGAGGCCCGGGCAGAGATTTGCGCCCCAAAGGCGTCACAAGTACCTCGTGCGCGAGGTCGCTACATGACAACATGACAAGGCCCTACAGAAACTCCAAGGAAGGATGCAGCCATCATGACTAGGTCCCCGGCTCTGCCATGCAAACTCCTGCAGCCAGTGTGACAACACAGAGGCATCATAATCGTCGTCGTCGTCATCATCATCACGAGAATTACTCTTACCTTGTCATTATCGTTGCTTATGGTGGTTTTGATGATGGTGGTAGTAGCGTCGGCCTCCCCCCCCTGCCTCCCAAATCCAACGCGTCATGACGCTGAGCAAACGGCTCAGACTAAACCCACGCTAACTCACCTTCCGAGCCAGAAAGGTTTTGCACGCGTTGGGGTAACCTAGACTGCGGCAGCGCTGCACAATCAATCAAGCCAGCAGCTCAAAAAATCGAACCTTTAACGTTTGAGGGGGGCGTGCCAGGCTCACGGAGGCCTTGACAACACCGAACACAGCACTGCATGGCAGAACATGAAGCTGGTGAAAGAAGACCAACATTCTCCCGTAAGCATCTCAGTGAGGCCTGAACCCAGGACGCCTTTTTTGGCCTGCTAGCCAACCAGGCAGGGGCTCAACCACCTGGAAGTGCATTTTGGTGCCCTCGTCTTCCAAGAGCATCCTAGGGCTTTGGGTTCAGAGGCGCTCATAGGGTGTACCTAAGCAGCCCTCCCCTCCCCCCCCCCCCCCCGCCATCATCAGGCTGTTTGGGGGAACTTTATGTTATCGGGTTTTTCCAGCGGCACATGTTTTGAGACTCAGGCTTTTGGCCATGGCTTCAACAAAGACGCACCCGGAGAAAGAAGAAGAAAGAGTACTACACCGGGACCGAGTCTCCGATAGAGCACTTGGTTGGCCTGCGTGTAGAACCTGAGGGCCTGGGTCCCGGCTTAGGGTTTGGAGGTTCAGGAGCTCCCTAAACCCTAAACCCTAAACCCTAAACCCTGAGCCCTGAGTTTCGAGCTCAAGTTTAAGCCTTAGGGTTGGCGGGTTCTTTCCTTTGTGAGGCTCAGGGTTTAGGGCACCCTAAACCCGTAGGCCCTGCCCCCAAGCCCTAAATTTAATCCAGCCCCCTCCGATCCCCAATCTCTACACAAATGACTCGAGAAGCAACTTGACAATCTCGTCGTGCAGTTCCGGTGGCATGGGCATATATCCCGGAGGCTTCTTTCGAAAGGTTTTGGACCCTTTCCCTTTTCCCAACACGTACAGTCCATTCGGCAGCTGCTTTGCACGGGCCTTAAAGTCAAACTTGCGCTCGAGGCCCAGAAAGTCTTGGTACACATCCAAGGTATGGAAGGGGTCTGATTTGAAACTCTCGGAAAACATGACTAGCATTGGCAGTGAGCTCTTCGGCACCTTGGCAAAGGCATCGATCCACTTACTCAAGAACCGATGATAGAAGCCCATCAGGACGTGTCTCTCAATAGTCCAGTCCCGGCTCTTGTTGGGCATCGTCGCCATGTCACTTATACTAGCAACGTACGCCAGACTCTGTTTCAACCTGTCAAAGCTGCAGTTTCCGGGCAGGAGCGGCTGAGTCGTTTGCCGGCAATCGTGCCAAAATCCCGAATACAATCGATCAGCCGGGTCTCTCAGGATGACAGCCAGCTTGATGGTTGGGAAGAAGTCAAAAACAACAGAAGGATCCACGACATCCAGGTATGAAGGCGTCTTCTCCCAAACTTGCATGCCCCTCCATACGTCGAAACCGCTCATCTGGCACCTAGGGTCCAAATACTCAACCCGCCAGGTGCTTCTCAAGCGGGCCAGAGCCTCTGTGGCCGCTTTGTTGTACCTCTGCTGGTGCTCAAACCTTGGATGCCCGGCCTCAGAACCATAGTAAACAATGCCAGCATAGACCCGAAACAGTTTGAGAACTTGGGAACACGCAAGAGCCCTCCAATGAACCCCAATGGTCTAAGAGCAGGTGCCGTGACATACCGAGACCACTCCATGCGCTCCAGACACATTCCATTGGCACCCGAAGCACATCCCTCATGAACAGTCCCAGAGCACCGCAAGAGCTCACCCAGCAAACTTCCAGGACGATGCTTCATGGGAGCACTCCAAGAGCACGGCAGGTTTCCACACACGAAAAACTACTCACCTCCTACAGCCACCTGATGTGGGAGCCATCCTGCAGTTTTCAAACAAGCTAATTGCGGATACTTCGCCGCAGGCTTCTGTCGCGGGACTCTGCCCGGAATTCTCTACAGGGGTGGGCACTCGAGCGGTACTCGGCTGCGGGCTCTTTGGGGGCGGGTACCCCAAGGATATTCGGCGGGTCTCGCTGCGGGATTCTCTGGAGGTGGGCACTCAAGAGACCAGGCTCAGGCAGGCGGGACAGCGGGCGAGGAGGCGAGGAGCATGGAAGACTTAAACCTATAGCAGACCCACACCGAGGGTGGGGAACAAAGAAGATCCCCATCACGAGATAAGCCAGGTATTCAGGGCCGGGCAGTCTCAACGACAGGGAGAAGCTGGATGAGAGAGTCAGGAATTCAGAGCCAGAGAATAGGCGGGTCGGCGGACTGGCGGCTTGCACTACAAAAGCCGACTTTCGAGCCGCCAGAGCTCCATGCGTCCTCAGCGTCGCACCACTGCCGCATCTCATATGCCCAGATGCCCAAGAGAACCGGCAGCTTAAAATTTCGCGAGAAGCTCAAAAGCGATGACAGCTTCGCATTTCGCGCGCGCGAAACGTCCAAAAGCCGCACGGTTTCGCATTCCGTGTGCCCAGAAGTCCCAGCGCGATGACAGTTTCGCATTTCGCGAGCTCGGATGTCCAAAAGCGATGACCGTCTCGAGGAGGATGCGGTACGCGGCCACGCCCGCGCCTAGGCGAGAGTACGACTTTCGTCCACAGTGCGAGCAGGCTTCTAAAGGAAGAAACCAGGGTCTGCAGTGGGCGCACCGCTGCGAGCCCGGCAAGGGCATGCCGATCTACCCACTCTTTCTCTTTACATTGAAACCCCTTGGTGTTGACACACTATTTGGGGTTAAAGTCTGTTCAGTTGTTCCATGTGGCCTTAGAAAAGTTAGTTCAAAACAGTAGTTCCCAAGAAGGCTCTAGGAACGAGTCTCCATGCAGCGCATCAAAGAGCTCCGCCAGTCTTCCAAGCACCTGGCGGCCATCGTATATCAGATGCTTCTTGTCATCAAAGAAATGCATCTCACCTGGAGCTCCGCAGATAGCGTCGTGCCGGTTGAGCCAGTCTGCGATTTCTCCGGTACTGCCTTTCATCACGCCGATCAGCAAGGAGCTGGGCAGACAGTTGCAAGAATCCGGGCCAACTTTCCAACATCCTCCCGCATCTGTTGTCTGCGAGTCCGTCCAATTTTGCAGCCAGCCTTTTACTCGCGACTTCTGGCTCAACCTCCCGTCCGCGTGATTCAGCCTCCACAGGCCAAGAAAGGTGAGAAACATGGCCGATGTCACATGTAGCCCAAGAACCCAAAACCAACAGCAACACAACCCTCAACCCCGCACTCGCCAAAGTAGCCTGAGTATGTCCAGAAGTAGTTCACTTGGCCTCCCACCGCTTTCCAACACCTGCTGGAAAGAGCCTGGCTCTTCGGGGTTCACGGTTTAGGGTTTGGGGTTTGGGGTTTAGGGTGTAGGGTTGGGAGTTGAAGGCACCAAGAACACACCCGATACCCCTCCTGACGCCTAAAACCTGCTTCGGGCCCGGGGGGCAGGATGAATTCAGCAGCTGCTCCACTTCTTTCGGCTGGGTCAGATCGAAGTGCATGCATCTGGAGAACGAGAGATTCTCGGCATTCGGGTTCCTTGGGATGGGGTAGGACCCGGTGGTCCACCCAGCTCCCAGCAGCATCTCCATGCCCGACGCTCTCGCCACCTTCGTGTCCGGCACCTGCGAGAGCAGTACCTGGGGTTTCTAAGCCCTACAGGATTTAGGGTTCAGGGTTTAGGGTTTAGGGTTTAGGGTTCGAAAAGCCGGGGCGTAATCAAGTTCAGGGTTGCTTCGGCTTTGCGGCCTTGGGGCCTCTTTGGAGGGGGTGACCCGAAACCCTAAACCCAATACCTAAACCCTAATACCTAAACCCTAAACCCTAAACCCTCAACCCTAAACCCTAAACCCTAAACCCTCAACCCTCAACCCTAAACCCTAAACCCGAAACCCTAAACCCCAAACCCTACACCCTAAACCCGAAACCCTCAACCCTAAACCCTAACCTAAATCCAATGCAAATCCCAACTCTTGCAGCATGGGCTCCACCCAACGTGATCGCCACATTTATTTCCGAGACATGCGAGAGCCGTAATTACCAAAGCCAGCTAAGCCATACAGCCCCCAAAGGCCCTTGACGTCCGGGGTGGCCCAGCAGGCCGATCGTTGCAAGCCTTCTAGTTTTGGGGCTTCTATAGTGCTTGCAGCTTACACATGGGCCAAGTAGCAGCTATTTGGAAAAGATGGACTTTCCGAAGAGCCTTAAGAGTACAGAGAGCGACTTGCTAAGGTCAGCCCAGGGAGGGTTGGTTTAGGGTTTAGGGTTTAGGGTTTAGGGTTTAGGGTTTAGGGTTTAGGGTTTAGGGTTTAGGGTTTAGGGTTTAGGGTTTAGGGTTTAGGGTTTAGGGTTTAGGGTTTAGGGTTTAGGGTTTAGGGTGCGGAGCTGCTGCTGGTATTGTAGAAAAGAGTTAGTGTTGGGAGTTGAAAGGGTTAATAAACCCGGAAATCATGTTTGGCTCAAGGCTCAAGACCCTGGGCAATGCGCCCTACAGAAAAGGTGTGTTTGGTTGTTCTTTGGGTTTTGTTGTTGGTTGTTCCAGGGGAATCAAGGGTTTCTGTTGGGGTTGACTGTTTGGTTTCTCGTCCCCCTTCGGTTGCCCCCCCCGTAGGTTATGAGCCCCAAATTAGGCTCCCTGTGGGTTGAATAAGATTTTATCTTTGTTTGGTGCCATGGATATGATGCGGCGTCGATCTGATTCTGGACCATTATCGGCGGCCAATGATGCCGAAGAAAATCGTGGTGATGGGGGTGAAGAACGACAACAAATGGTACAAGCGCTGACAGATGGTAGGGAGGTTGCAATGATACAACCAACGTCTCAGGTGGAAAACGAAGTGGTTCCGGTTCCAGCAGCGAATCCTTTCTGGAGCGAGCGGGCTCATGAAGAAATGAGACTGAGGCAATCAAGGCCAGCAAGTCTTCCTGCGAGCGGAGGGGATAGAAGTGGTGAAGAAACAAGAAGGCCACCGTCGTTGCCAGAACTTCGGGATCGGGAACCTGCACCAGCTGAGAGGCCATCGTCAGGTTTGATGGGCCAGATGGAAAGAGGTAATATTGGTGAGACACAAGGCGAGGAAGAGCTTATTCCTGATCTGAGTGGTGAAGAACAAGGTGAAGATATGGCGGTGGTAAAGCGTGCGCTGAAAGAGTTGCTTGTGCAAACAAAGGAGCTGGGGAACAGGTTGCATCGGGTGGAGGAGAAAAGCTATACCTCTGCTGCATCTGGGTCAGCTTCGAGAGCACGGAGCACTGGAGTGGTGGACGCAAATGCTGCATATCCTTTGGGAATGACTCCAGAGAAACAGTACCTGCCAGGACAAGTTTTCTACACTGGTGGTATGGGTGGTTTCTGGACTGTGTTGCCTGATGGGACATGGCTGCCGATTGAGGGCTACGACCTGCCAAAGGGTTGTGACCTTCAACCCTTGCCTGAGCCCAGGAAAGGGGATGTTCACGTGGAGGATGAGAAAGAAGTGCCAATGATGCACGTAACTGAAGGGAAGAAACCCTCCAGATTGCCTCCATTGAATTATCCCATGGGAGGTTCTGCAAGTGGTGGATATGCAAGTGGACCGCCTGGCTTAACACATGTTCCGATTACTTCCTTGCCATCAGGCGTTGATGGTTCTGCCGCACTGTTGGGAAATCAGCCCGGTTTTGTTTCAGCTCGGGAAACTTCAACGCAAGAGAACTCAGCAGGATCGGGTGGATATACAATGGTGGATGATGTTCCATATCGGTGGAAAATGATTGCTGGGAAGTTGGAATTAGAAAAGGTTCCGCTCACAGTTTTTACGCCCGGAATGGGACATGGACTGCCTCAAGGGCCTGGCGGAAGGGTCAGCTTACCTCCTGGAGCGGTGGTGCCACGTGGTATGCCAAACATTGGTGATAGTTCTGGAACTGAACGTCCGGAGGCTCTTGGGAAGCATGTGATGAGCCTTCCTACTTTGGCAGACTACACACCAAGCAATCCGACGGCACTAGGGGATTGGATCGCAATGATCGAACCAATGTTGTCTTCGCTGACAGATACAGGAAGAGTGTGGTGGCAATCCGTCTATACAAAGGCGTATGAGGCGTACGCCAAATGGTTGAGTGTCTCTCCGCTGGAAAGGTTGGGCATCAAGGCTGAGCTGGAAGGACTCAAGGGGGTTCGAACTGTGCATGTTTTGTTGGAGCAGAGAGCGGTGTCTTTGCTGCTACAGGCGATTCCGGAGAGATTGAAGACCGAGATCGTTTCCACTCGAATGTTGGGGTCGGTGGTGATATTTTACAAGTTGCTGACAGTCTACCAACCAGGTGGAGCAAACGAGCGCAGCACAATGTTAAACTTCTTGGTGCAACCATCCTCAGCAACCTCGATCTCAGAGGCTATTAAGGGAGTGCGACAATGGGCGCAATGGCGTTCCCGATTAAGGGAGCTGCGAGCATCCGAGCCGGACGCTACCTTGCTTATCAAGGGATTGGATGCTTTATCATCCGCGTTGCTGGCAAAACACCCTACGGTGCATTTCAGAGTGGCATCCTTCCGGGAGAAATTGGGGGTGGACTACTCGCCGACCTCTGAAACTGCGACACAACTAGCTGAAATGTTACAGGCAGAATTTGAACTGCTATTGCATAGTGCTGGTGAACAAGAGGTGAAGCAGGACTCGGACGCCAAGAAAAGGGCCAGGTTAAACAAGGCCCAAAAGGGAACTGGTGACGAGACGGAGGAGGGTGACAAAGGCAAAGGGAAAGGAAAAAGGTACAGCGGAGATGGTGAACGTCCTTTCTGTTGGATATATGGGAAGACAGAAGCAGGCTGCAAGTTCGGATCACGTTGCAAATTTCGCCATGACAAGGACTCCCTGGAGCGTGGAAGATGTTTTGAATGTGGGGCCGTTGGCCATTTACAGCCGCAGTGTCCATACAAAGATGGTGTAAGTTCCAATGCGGACTCAAATCCTGAAAGGAATAGATCTAAAGGGAATTCTCCCAAAGGGGGAAAGGGCGGCAAAGGTGCAAAATGGGGAAATGCCAAAAAGGCAGAAGTGGCTGAAGTGGGAGATGAGACGGCTAATGCGGGATTGGATAAAGGTTCTGCAAGTCCCTCATCACCATCAACACCCAATCAGGTCCTTGCTGAAGCGTTAGACGTGCTGAAATCTATGAAGCTGTCATCAGCGCAGTCAGCATCAAGCGGGGATCCCAGTGTTCGAATGTTATGTGACTCTGGATTGTTTCAGCAGGAAGGGAGAGTGGCGTTGGTGGATACAGCTGCTACGCATCTTGCGCGGACGCTTTTTCCATGGGAACGTTTACCCGACACTACTGTTATGGTGCAAAGCGCGCTTGGTGGTGTGACAATGAGGATTACAGAGAAAGGGACGTTGATTAGGGAAGACAATGGGCCCCTGATTATCCCTCTCTGGTTGATTTTGGAGTTTGGGGCGAACCTCACCGTGATCAATGGGATGTGTCACGTGAGTGCAAAATCTTCGCTGGACCAACTCTTGTGGTTTGAACATGGCTGTTTGGTTATGGATTACAAAACAGCTGAGAAAATGGTTTTGCATGCTGAAAGGCAGCGTGCATCTTTGTCCCATTCTCAATGGAGGAATGGAAGGGCGGACTGTGGAGTCGGTTCGTCTGATGCCACGTTGTTGCCGAAGCAGGGAGAAGGCCGAGGAGTATGCGTTCTACATGTGGCCAGGGTTTCTGACACCAATGAGTGTTCGGGAATGGGCATGTTGGACTCGGGAGCATCACATCCTCTCAGATCACTTCGTCCTGGTGAACAGCTTCCGCAGCAAAAGGTGTTGGTGTCTTTAGCTGTTGGATCTCAGGAGATGTGTATTACCCCAGGTGGGACCCTGGTAACTCCTGAAATGGTAGATCCACTAGTGCCAATTGGCAAAGCGAGCGCCTTGGTTGGTCTCAGAGTTCAGTGGCGTGGTGGCAAGTGCACAGCCTCACATCCTGTTCTGGGAGAACTTCGCGTTCGTGATCTGAATGGGTGCCCTTGTTTGGAAAAGGAGGTGGCGCTTCAGATCATTGATGAAATGGATTGGTGTTCACCAAAGCAAGCATTGAAGGTGGCACGTATGGTTCAAGGGTGTCCGAATACGGACAACGAGGTGGCGGTAAAAGCGTCGTTGCAAAGCGCAGCGCGGACAGCGTCAGCGAATGAGGAGGAGTTCGTCCAGGCATGCTGGCGGTTTCTTCGGTGGTATTCTGGGGATATACCAGAAAATATGCTGATGGAGCTGTTGCCACGTGGAGATATTGCGGCGTTGCCTTTCAACCGTCATAAAAGGAGACGGCTGGCACGAGCAAAAAGGGTGGTGGTACACCTATTTTCGGGAAAACAAAAATGGCATTTTCCCAGTCGGGATGTGGAGGTACTGGAGCTGGATTTGAAGAAAGGCGGTGACCTACATAATTCGAGCGTCTGGAAGTATCTTCTGCATCTGGCGGCTGAAGGAAAGGTGGTTGCTGTGGTTGGAGGACCTCCATGCAGGACAGTGTCAAGGTTGAGAGGTGAAGACGGTGGTCCACCTGTATTACGCCGGCGCTGTGGGCCTGAACGGTTGGGATTAAAGAGTCTTCCTTGGCCACATCAAGAATTAGCTCAAAAGGATGGTGTTTTACT